GCCCTGGCTGGTCCTCTCTGATCTCAGCTGAGGTGAGCGCTGCCTGTCTCCCTCACAGGGGGGGGGGGAGCAGGGCGACGGAAGCGAAGGCCAGGTCTGGCCACTGAGTGCAGGAGACCTGGCCCCACACTTGCTCTCTCAGGACGGACTTGATGCCAAATGGCACAAGGGGTAAAGACAACGTCCCCACCAGGCAGGGTCTGCTGTTCTCAGGTGACTGGTTGATAATGAGGGCTCACCTTTCACATCGGAACACTTCCTTCCCCTTCTTTCACTTTAAGCACTTCCTCTCAGAATCACAGAGAGCTTTCAGTTTCTACTCAGCCCCTTGAAAACATGCTCTGAGCACCTACTGTGTGCACCAGGTAGGTGCTGGGGCCACAAGGAGCAGAGGGCAGGTGAGGCTCTGAGGGGAGGGACGACTCTAACCACACCCTTCCCAAGCACCCACTGTGACAGAGTGGCAGGGCATGAGGTGTCTGCCCACTCAGGCAGGTCAGGAGACTCAGGACAGTGAGGGACAGCAGGTCAGTGAGGCCAGGCGGGCTGAGGGGTGTGGTGGTCACGCTGCCTGTTTGGCAGCGACCACATGGGACCTGGAAGGAGACTGTCCAGAGCTGGGATGGCGCCCAGGGGTTGGGAGTTGCTGCGGTGGAGACAGGGCCGGGGTCAAGGTGGCTGGAGGGAGGCCGCAGGGGTGCGGGGAGCACCTTGCACCTCCCAGGGCAACGCTGCCCAGGCCGAGCACACGTCTGGCCTGTCTTCCACCGGATGTAACTGGCTCCATGCAATCAAGAAATTGTCCCTGTGGGCAGGATTCCAGGTTTGCATCAGCCAATGAGTGATATTAGGGCGGCTGTAAGTGCCACACAAAAACTGGCAGGTGAACTGCTCCTAATAACAAGAGCATTGCCTCCCAGGGAGAGGCAGCTGCAGCCCAAGACCAGCGTCCAGGGACCCCACTCTGTGCTCTCAAGGTTGTCCCTGAAAAGACAAGCTCAAGGGTGCTCAGGATGCTGGAGGAAGGAGAAAGGGCAGCAGTCACAGGGCTGGGGCCATGACCGTCAGGCGCCAGATCCTGTGTGGGATTCAGTACATTCACCCTAAGGCCCAAGTGCCTCTCAAAGGACGTATCTAAGTCACAGAGAGGCCAACTAACCTGCCCAAAGGAACACAGCATATAAGTGGTTCAGACAGGATTCAATCTCGACGTCTGTGGGAACCAACTCAGACGTAATCACCGTGTGATGCCCCGAGAGTTGGATTTAAGAAGCAAGAGAGTGGTGAGGCAGGGAGCTAACGGGGAATGGACGTCCCCAACCATTTACAGCGACTGAGCAGGTGAGGGTGAAAGTCAGAGAACAACAGAGGCTTCGAAGACCAAGAACACCAAGCTCAGGACTACACAGCTCCAAGCTGAGCCTCAGTGAGCAGCACTTGAGACACCCCAGTGTGATCCTTCTGCAAAGAGGTGGGACCTGGCGGGCAGGGTCTCTGTAAGGATGTGTGCTCACTCTAGCAAGTAAAGCGGCTTCTGCACTCTGGAACACAGAGGTTGAGGAAGCGCCCTGCAGTGCAGGGGAGCAGCCGCTGGGGGTGCAGGTCCTGTGGGGACTGGGTGCAGCACACCTAGAGGTACCCAGGGAGGGCCCCTGATTCCGGATCCACCCTACTTGGAACCACCAGGTAACGCTGGGCCAGCAGGTCGGGGGAAGTTCACATAAATAAAGTAAGACGTTTCTTTTAGGAACAATTAACAACTGAGATGGTTGTCTTCCTATCATTAAGAAGGGAGTTGAGGTGGGGAACAAGCTGACAAGCTTCTGACAACTATGCTGTCACTGGGACAGCATCAGGGAGGCAGAGGGAAGCCCAGGTGGCACTGGTCCGGGGCACTGCAAGCTGAATGCCTGTCTGGGGAGAGAGCGGCGCTGGGGGTGGCCGTGACTCCCAGGAGACCTGCAGTGATGCTGAGGTCCTCAGGTGCGTGGGTGTCTATATGCTGGAACTTTCTCCAGAGGGCGTGGCCAGATGAGGGAACCAGGGCCCTGTGTATGCCTGCTCCCGGCCTCTGGGCACGTTGTGCTCACTGGCCAGCAGACACTGTGGCCCTCACCAGCACACAGTGCTAGGTGTCATGGCTCCTGCAAGGAGGGCAGCTTGGGTGGAACGTGTCCTCTTGTTCCCCAGGAGCTGTGGCCTACTCGGTTTCAAGACAGGCACTGCTCCACAGAAGGAAGGCGCTGTTCTGTGCCGGATGTTGCTAAGGGGCCTCTGAATATCTCACCAAAGCACCACTCTGTGTGTGTGCGGCGTAGGTGTCTGGGGAGGGGCCGTGTGGACAGGTGTGTGTGTCGGTGTCAGAAGAGGCTCTGTGGCTACGACTGTATTCCCTAGGTGCAGGGAAGATACTGCTCCCTTTCAGAACTGAGGCCTGGAAGGTGACAGACATCTAGTTATTAAGAGCTCATTTAGAGACATTATTTATTTTCTTGTTCTAAAATGCAGTGGAGTGAAGGGATAAAGGTAAGTGGAACGCCAAGTCCCTTTCATGTTGAGTGGAAACGCCTGATGGTCAACAGTCCTCGGCCCTACCCTCAATTCACACTTCAGCAGCTTGAACTCCCTGCCTGGGGTGGCAGGGAGAGGGCTCTGGCTCAGTGCGGTGGACTTGGAAGCCGCACTCTGGAGAGTGGATGAGTGTGGACGATTCAGTGCTGCTCATCATCCCCTCACAGAACACGGGAGCCTTCTCTTTCCTGACAGATGGATTCAGAAGAGGCTCAGCATGGCAACTGTGGCCAAGCCCCATTCTCTGCGCCTTGTGAGGTGTAAAGGACTTTTCTTTCCAGTCCTTGAAAAGGAGCAATCTGCAGCTGCCCGAGCCCGACTGAGGTGTGACAATCTGCCAGGTCTCTGCCGCTCACAGTGGCCACAGTTACATGGTGCGTGTGCAGGGGCTGCAGACATTCCTCCCCAGGAGCAACAAGGCTCCCCAGTACAGAAGGTGCCCGCTGCATCCTCAGGAAAGGCAGGGTCGGGGAGTGGGGAGGGAAGGGCCTGGCGAAGAAGGGCACAACGGAAGAGGTGGCTAAGCAGAGTGGTGACACGGCAAGAACAGAGAGCGGCACTGTCACGGCCGAGTAATCCTGTGACACACTGCTGTCACTCACCACCCAGCTCCCTGCCGCGCCAGCCAGACATCAAAGGCCGACCCACACCATCTTACATGCTCCTTATCAGCTAATCAGCCCATTCTTTCCTGAATAAAGCCCTGTTAAATCCCCCGCTCACAGGGGTATCACGGTCTTGGTGCCCATCTGTTAGCCAGGGTCAGCTCAGGCAGGAGGCGGCAGTTGCTCCCTCCCTAGCGGCTCCTCAAGGTAGGACAATGCTGCCTCAATCCCCTGCCCAACTGCCTCCTGCTTTGTGTCCTGGGGCCGGGGCCGGACAGGATGGCCGCTCTGGGCAGAGGGGCGACTGTCTGGGCCAACACTTACTCATGAAGTTTCCATCCTAAAGGCAGATCATCTGAGAACAGTTAAGATGTGGGGACTGTTTGTGTTCTCCAAAAGCAAAATATACCGAGGCACTGTTTCTAACAGTGGTCACTGGGCAGGTCCACTCCCGCCTCCTCAAAGAGCCAGCGTTGTACAGACAGTGGCAGGACATTCAGGCTAAACGTTCACGCTAGGAGGCCCGTCAGACGTGGACTGGGGAGCCCGTGGTTTCGCTGCAGTATGTGCTGGTACCAGTGACACTTAAACCAAAGACAGGGACCCAAGTCTGGGGCGCTGGACTCCTAGCCCAGCCACAAGGCCTGGCGGTGGAGCGAGGAGGGGGCGACAGCACACAGCACGTGCAGGACTCCACACACCTGCCTCTCAGCACAAGCAGGGCCTGGTCCTACCTGAGAGGTCACGTGAGGAAGAACCCTCAAGTTCCGAGCCTAGAGAGGCCTTGCCCGCGGGTCATCCAGCCGGGCACCTCGTTCCTCTGCCTTCTAGCTGTCTGACTGTCCACTTGGTTTGAAAGGTGTACTCACTTGTGTCACCTGATCTCAAAACCACCCCTGGAGTAACTAACACGGGCTTTCTTCTCCCTTTTGCAGGTGAGGAGACAGAGGCTCTGAGACACTGAGCAATGCACATCAGAGGGCAACTGAGGTCCATGTCCCCCGACTCTCAAGCTGTCATTCCACACGGGTTCAGGCAGCAGCAGGAGAGGCCTGTGCCCACTCCTTCCCTGTGTGCCCTCAAGTCACAGGGCTGAGAACAGTGTGCTGCCTGTGCCCGGCTCCTTGCAGAGTACTTGTGGGGTCTCCACAGCTCCAGCTACGGCAAGGGCTGGGCCTGGTGCTCAAAGAACACCTCATCCTTGAGGAGAAGACGACTTTCTAATGAAGTCTGATGGGTGGTCGTCCTGGTACTGTGTGGCCAGACGCAGCCCACAGGGGCAGCACCCATTTCTGGGCCTTCTCTTACCAGCTCTTGCTGTTCGGGACGCTCTCTTTTGGGGGAAAGAGGATGAGTTCACTGCTCTAAGCCCTCAGCACCAAGGTGTCTCAGCCCCGCGTGGGGCCCAGCCCAGCGTCAGCCCCTGGGGCCAGTGTGCTGCACACCTGGGTGTCCTTGGCTCCTGGAGCCCAAGGCTTGGCACTCATCCTTCCCATCTCAGGAGGACAGGCCTGTTATCAGGGATAATCACAGAGTACTCCAGGAATCCACTGCCCGGCCCCGAGGCTCACCTCCACGAGGACAACCTGTGAGGGCTCTGTGCTCCACAGCCCCCACTGTGCGGGCCTCACAGAGACGCCAGGGAACTTCTGGAGGACTGGGTGTTTTTCCTCTTATTTCGGGTGCTTATTACATAGAAATAGGCGATCCTAGTGATAATTCACCACAAAAAACAAATACGAAGGCATGCTGGGCCACCAGCCCACTGCAGCACCTCACAACTCCTTGGTGCTGCTCGGATCCACCGGGCTCAGCTCGCCCTACCTTTTCAGGTTTGCCCTCCTCTTCTTCGCAGTGGAGACACTGAGATTCCTGGGTGCATCTCTGAGCCCAAAGCTCTTGGCCACGTGCCCAAGGTGGAGGGATCGTACGTGGAAGATGTGCTTCAGCTCCCTGGGATACGCAGCATAGGCGCGGATGAAGGACTGCAGGGCTAGGAGGGATGAGAGAGGCTGTCAGGACTGGGTCCTGAGGTCCCACAGCCCCCAGACTGCTGCGTACCCCAGGTCTTTATCTCCCCAGGCAACGGAACCCAACCAGGACGGTTATAACACAGTTGGCCTAAACCTATACTTCTGCGTATATTTAAAATTCCTAAACAATCATAGTCACAATTACTTGATAAAACCAACACAATCTCTGATTTTACTTCAGAGTTTGTAATAATCCAAGGGCAGAGGACCCTGTTTCTTTTCTGGGTTGTGGTCTCGGGACCCAGTGCACACCTGGTGCTCAGCAGGCACTTGACAAATGTTGTATGAATGAATGAGGTGAGAATGGGTGAAGAAATGAAGAGCTGATCACACAGGACATCACCTTCTTATAAAAATGAGGGAATTGTTAGACAGCTACATTAGGAAAATTTTTTTCCTGATTGAATTTGCTGTATTGGTTAATGCGTGCATTTCAAAATTCAGGAAGTTAAAAAGGCTTTATCATTCACTATGAATATGACAGTGCTTCTTGGCACCCTGTCCACACTTATCACCACCCAGCCCCCGGTATGTTCATGAGATTTTAGGACCAAGTTCTTCCAACAGTGTCCAGGACTGACCAACACAGCATGTCTAACTCACTCAAAGAATGTGTAAAACAGAAAATGAAAAAAGAAATGAGAAAAATTTTAAAGGAAAATTATTAAATATCTAAAACAGTCCAGGAAATAGTCTGCCCCAAGGATGGCCAGAGGTAGGAGAGCCCATCCAGCATTGTGTAGGGAGAGCTACAGTCCCACTTGAAGTGAGGAACAGGGGTGCTTCCTCTGGACCCCAGCTCCAGCCAGCAAAGAGCCAGACCTGGCTCCCAGGGGCTGCAGCACCAGCTGCCTCTCAACACTCCTTTGGGAAAGGCTTTCCTGTGTGCAGCTCCCGACTGTCTCCCAGTGACGCTGGAAACTGCTGCCTGCCCCTGCTCAGGCCTGCAGGGTAGAGGGGCACGTTCCGAAGCGTGTTCTGCGTGCCACCACTGCCTGCTATCCTTCCAGACCCTGCTCCCCCGAGGCAAGCTGGAGCCCAGCACTGCGCGGATGAGGAGGCAGCACCTGCCAGCCCCCCTCACCTTGCCTGCTGAGCCACTGGACTGGCAAGTTTGCCCACAGCTTAGGTGCAATATCCCAGCAGCACCTGGAGATCGGCGTTTATGAACAGTAATAAAAAGTGTCATTTTAACAGATCAGCTCCGGGAAGGATCCTGGGAATCCATCAAAGCTCTATTTACTGAGCAAAGTGAACTCCTTTTCCCAATCGATAAGAAATAATAACCACGGCAACTCCTCGGAACCCCTCTTAAATCCGTGCTCACTCCCTTTTTAATAACCAGGGACTAGCTTTTTCAAAGAGAATCTTTAACACTTCAAATGGACTGCACTGCCTGGAGGGTTCTGACATGGGGCTCCCAGCCACAGAGCCACACAGCCCTGTCCTCGGAGAGGAATGCTGCCCTACCCTGGCGAAGGCCAAGAGGTGAGCGGCTCTACCCTCCCTCCTTCCCCCAACCCCAATCCTTACTCTGGTCTACAACTCCAGACATAGACAAGAAAAACAAGAGCCTGCACTTTAAAAAACAGGGTCACCCGGGTGCTGGTCCAAGGCCTCCTCACTTCCCACCACACCCCTGCACAAGCAGACAAGCCCTAGGCCCCCACCTTGCTCACCTGGTCCTCCTCGTATCACCCTAACGCCCAGCACAGGTGTCTGTCCCAGGAGACGCAGTTGCCCAGTGCAAAGCCTCACAGGGATAAGGAGACTGCCAAGCATGGTGGGAGAGCTTCCTCCCAGACAGGGGGCCAGGCAGCATCTCTTGCTGCACACCCTCACCGACTCCTCGTCCTCCAGGGCCGCATCTCACCGGGGACAGCAACAGTGGGCAGTCCTTGTGGACTTGCGTGGACTCCTGTGCCAGGATAATTCAGAGAGGCAGGGGTTTCTGATGCAGCCAGGTAGAAGCGGCTCATGCTGGCAGCGTCCAGAATGCGCAGAAGCAACAGAGCTGTGGCACCAACACAGCAGAAAGTGGTGAATTGGAAAGGAGATGTTTATTTGGGTGGACACATGAAGCTGCAGGCAATGAGAGTGGAGTCCACAGCTGCTGCAGATTCTGATTTCCAGACAACTACCTAAGGTGCACAAATTAGGGGGAATAGACTTAAAATAACCCACATGGACATCTGTCCTTCTTCAATCCTGACATCTGGATCAGGAATAGGGATATCTCACAGATGATTCCTAAGATGAAGAAGGCAGACAGGGACAGCATCACAACCACAGGTCAACCCCAGCTCCTCAGGACACCCTTTGGTAGGAGGTGGGTGGGGACAGGCATGTGCACCTTCCCACCTTCCCACCTGAGGTCGACAGCGACCATTCCCAGAGGATGCAGGAAGGAGGCACTCTGCTCTGACCCTCCCGGAGACACAGGGTTTGGGAAAGGGCCAGTTTGCCCTGATCCCAGGGACCTGCCATCCCTGGCATGGGTGTTCTGGGCTGAGAAGTGTCCCCTCTAAGAATAGGCAAAATGCCACACGGGGGTCCTGCTGTCCAGGGTGGCCTAAGATGGAAAGGAGTAAGCCGTAGGAGCAGTGGTCATGGGCCACCAAAGGACCCATTTTTGCTTGGGAGCCTGCAGTTCAAATGCATGCTACCACTCTTTATGGGACCTGGATCCCTAAACTAAGATTAAGGAATGAGAAAAAAACAAGGTAACTGCTCCTAGAAGCTGGGAGCAGTAAAAGCTGGCCACACCTGGGCTGGTGGCCTCCACATCCCAGCAAGGTGGGAGGCTAAAGCAGGAGGACTATCACGTTCAAAGCCAGCTCAGCAACTTAGTGAAACCCTGTCTCAAAATGAAAAATAAAGAGGGCTGGGGATGTGGCTCAGTGGTTAAGCGCCCCTGGGTTAAAACCCCCAAACCCCACCTCCCCAAAAAAGCTGGTCACTAACAGTGACTGGGCTGGAAAACACAGGAGACAAGCGCACTGGGCCCCATTTCTAATAGTGTCCTGTCATAAAGGCAAAGCAAGCACCATCACTCATACAAGACCACTCGGAAATGGCACAGCAGGGAGGCACGGCACCACCCACAGGCACAGAGGCCGACCTGCACTGTGTTCAGTTCCTGAGAGGCGGCAGATGCATGTGCATTTCCGGGCCCAAGGTCCCAAGCCAAAGAAGCAGGGAGAGAACAGAGAAAAGCCAGAGGCTGGAACGGGTGAGCAGACCAAGCTGATGATAAATGAGGGAAATGACGTATCCACTTCCCTCAGCACATAATGTTGGGGAGCAGCCCTGCTCACACATCCTTACAACAGGAGAAAAGTAACTCTGCTTGTTTCTTTCTTTCTTTTTCTTTTTCTGGAGCCAGGGATTGAACCCAGGCGCGCTTAACCACTGAGCCATGTCCCCAGCCCTTTTTATTCTTTGTTTTTAGACAGAGTATTACTAAGTTGCTGAGGCTAGCTTTGAACTTGTGATCCTCCTGCCTCAACCTCCCAAGGCGCTGAGGTCACAGCTGTGGCACAACATCTGCTGCTTGTTTCCTGAACATTCTACAGGGTGACACACCATGACCTGCTGGGAGGACCCAGGTGGCTCCATCAACCGCAGTCTTGCCGAAGTCCTCAGAAAGCACAACACCAAAATCCAAAGATGGTGCGTGGGCCTGCTCTCCTCTCCATTGAGACTGCTGTGGCCCTGGACTTGGGCTGGCTGGCAGCCCAGATTTGATCAGAGGTGGCAACTCTGTAAAGTCACACTGTGACAGATATTTCATTCCTCTTTGAAATATTCCAGAACTCAGAGGTGACTAGGAAGACCCCTAGGAATCGCTGAGTTCACTTTTGGAGATGCTAAGACAGAAAAGACTATCCCAGAAAAGACTAGAAGGCTACGTCCTACCCGTAATGACAATTACAGGGACTTCATCTTTCCCCTTGTGCATTCTTTCATGATGTGCTAAGGTAGATGACAGTTACTTGAAATAACTGATAACCTGCTGTGGGATTTTGGGTCAGTGCTGGGGATGGAACCCAGGGCCTCATGCATGGGAGGCAAGTGCTCTGCCTCTGGCACTTGTTTTATTCACCTGATCCCTGATGGCCACACTAGTCCATGCCCAGTCTCCTGATGGCTGCCCCTGCCCCCAAGGGCCCTGTCTCCCCAGAAGCCAGCTCATCTTTCAGGACATGAGCCTGATCGTACTGTGTCCCTGCTGATAGCCGTCTGATGCGTCTGTTCCACTGAGAGTCAAACCCCAAACCTCAGAGCCACCTCCAGGCCCTCTGTGACTCCACCTCCCCACCCTCCCTCCTTGAGCTCAGCTGCCGGGTGGTCCCATGCCTGGAGCACCCTTCCTTGGGACACGGAGCTCATCCTGCTCTTGCTCATCTTGCTCTTGGGTTCCCCTCCACAATGGGGCGTAATCTGAGCCTCCTGTTTAAGAGGCAGGCTGTCTTGCGGCCCCTTCATCCCCTGCCCTGCTCTACTTCCCCACAGCCCTCACCGTGCTGCCACCAACTTACTACCTTCATGCTCGCTGCTGCTTCTGTGCCCACTAACGCTCTGGCTTCACGGGGGTGAGGATGTCTGTCCTGGTCCCTCATGTCTCTGAAGCACCCCGAATGGTGTCCGATTCAATAATTATTGTTGAATAAATGATTTAAAAAGACACTTCTATTTTTAAAAAATATTTATTTTTTAGTTGTAGTTGGACACAACACCTTTATGTTATTTATTTTTATGGGGTGCTGAGGAGCGAACCCAGGGCCCTGCAGGTGCTAGGCGAGCGCTCTCACACTGAGCCACAACCCCAGCCTCAGCTACTTCTATTTAAAAAAGAAAGAAAGGGTGCCACAGAGTTTTTATAGTGGTTAGCCTGTTGGGCATTTTTTCTCAAAATCGTGGGTAACTAACAGAAAGAACTCTGCTTCTTCTACTCGAAGGAAGGCGTGTCAGCACAGCGACCATTGCCAGCCAAGACATTCCTCCACCCTGCCCAGCCCACCCAGCACTGGCTACCCGGGTGAACTGCTCCTACAGAGGGTCTGGCCACTGCCAGCACGCCACCTTCCATGGCCCACGCCCCCACAGCACAGGCCACTCCTCTGTGCATCTTCAAACAGGAACTGTCTGGATTGAACACTTGAAGCCCGGGGCTTCACTTCTAATTTCCACCTCAACTACTAATTCAACTGATGTGTCGTATCTCTTCCATTTAGTGTTCAAAGAAGGAAAACGGATCCCCAAGTTCCAAGTTGTAGACTTGGGTCAAAGCTCTGGCCCTGATGTAAGCCAAGGTAAAGCCTCATTTGTGCACAGGATGGGGAAGGGTGAAATTAACATTTAATATCACTCTAAAGCCCCTCATGTCTGCTTCCAGGCCTGCAGAATCACGGAGACTGCAGGCTTCACAGGAAGCAGCGATGGCTGGTGCCTCTGCACCCGAGCGGGGGTGGGAGTGAGGCTGGGTCAGCACCCTGCTGGGCTGGTCCTCCACAATCACCTGCGAAATCCACTGACCTTTCTTTGCCCAGGAGACCGTCCTCTCGCTGGAGTGCACGTAATCTTCAAATACTGTCTGCAAGACTGTGGCTCGCTCATGGATTTCCTGGGGGCCAGCAGCGTGGGATTTCTGGGAGGGTGATGGAAGGATTAAAGGAGAGACAGAGTTGAAGTCAGGAATAATGAAGCAGTTTATAATAGATTTAATAACAGTAAAACCACACAGTAACCACCCAGGGGCCAACGAGGGTAATCCTCTCAATATTACTAGGGAAAAAAGAGCTATCAAGATGTTGAAGTCAAGCAAAGACGCGGGTGGCTTTGCGAGGGGCAGACTGGGTCTGTGTGTTTATTTACTTACTTTTCCTCATGACCTCTTATCACTCATGTTCAAAACCAAAGACCATTGGAGACACCCTGGAATTTTCCAATTTAGCATTGAAAACACCACTGAATACAAGCTGTTTTCAAATAAATTTCTGTAAATTTTCTCCCTTCCCTCTCACTCACCAATTCCTCTCTAAGGGCATTCCAGTGACCTCCTGAAATTCAGCCTTAAAGTCACTGCTATCCTGGGTTTGCAGGGCATACTCCCTGGATCCCCAGAAGTTTCCTGTTTGTTCCTAGAGCCAGTTCCCTGCAGCCCATCACGGACCTGGCTTTCACAGCAAGTCTGGGCCACCGTAGTACTGTTTCCACTCACAGACCCACAGATGGAGAAGGGTCATGAAGGGTAAAATTACTTCCTTTTCATATTTCATAATACCAGAGAAAAGATTTACTTTTTAAATATCTCCACTAAAAAGTAGTGCATTTTGTCTCCTATATCTTAACACAAACACAATGCTTCCTACTGAAGGTGCATTTGGGATTTGAGAGCACAGCCTCCTGAGCCTTCGAGGCCCACAGGCCAGGTAATGCCCACCACGAAGCGGTGCCCACGTGTGGCCCCACTCGCACCCCAGCCTCACACAGGCCGCGGGGGAAAGTCCACATGGACCTAGGCTGCCACCCTCACCTCTGGAGCATGGGGTATGTGTGCCAGCGTTGGGCCCAACCTGGACACCCCTGGCTCCCTTCCACCCTTCAGGGTGACTGAGGAAGAACAAGGGGGACAGGTGAGAGCCTCTCTCTGGATAGACACTCTTCTCTGTATTAATAGAGACTTAACAACCTGGAATGTTTTCAGTGTAGTCAAATCACCCCTGCGACCTGTTTGGCTGATGACAGTCTGGCTGATTCCACCGTATGTGGTCCCCCTAAGGGTTCTATCCACTAGGATGTCAAGAGCAGAGTCACTCAGAAACCGTGTTACCAAAGTGGACATTTGCTATTGTCATTAACAAGGACCCCCTTAACCGATGTGAAATGCAAACTCTTCCCGCTGCCCTCCTTTCGTTGAAGCCACCTCAGCAGCACCACTGTCACCTTGCCCGCGTCCTTTTTTTAATATGAATGTGAAATTAGTGAGGATGCCCTTTCCCCTGGCGGACAGAATCCTCTGTTATTAAAAAGTAAAGCACTTTAATAATGAAAACTTTTTCCTCTTTTTCCTGTGTTTTAACTGTTTAAAATTAATGAGAAGGGCAGAATGGTTGTCAAAGCGATATTGAAAGCCGGGCAGCCAGGACCGAATAAGCACAAGAATCCCTCTAGAGTGTTAAGTAAACAGAGCCGCAGCCCGCTCCGAATCCCTTCTGTTGGTTACTGTATACATTCTGTAACAGCTCTCAGAATAGATCTGAGAGCCAGGGAGGCAGGGAGGTTCAGAATTCCAATAAAGGCCTCAAATTAAAGACAGCCTGGTGCGAATTCCAGGAGAAAATTAAAGAGACCTCAAGCTTAAGTGACAGGTGACTTGCTTCTGTGTCACAACTGTCAGGGGATTTAGTGATAATATGGCAATATATTACAAAGGGCTTTTCTTATTCCCCCCTTTAGGTTTCAAAATGAGGCATCTTTTCTTCCCAACCAAAAAAAAAAAACCCCACCATATATATATAACACAAGTGTATATACAAGTGAAATATGTAGAAAAAAACAATCAAACTAGGTTCACATATTTGAAATGATGAGGTCAGTTTTAGTAAAATATACGAAAAAGTTAATGACAGAAAACATATTATACTTAGGAAAAAGCATGTCGTACTCTCCCCACCCCCACCTGCAGAAATACTCTAAGACGGCCCTCCTGAGAACCAATGGGGGCTTTTCAGCTGTCTGGGGGGCGGGGGGGGGTGGCCCGCAGCCAGGTGGAAACTGAAGACGGGGCAGAACTGCATGGCGCTGCCACCCCAGAAGACAGGCAGGTACCTATAATGAGAGTGGGTCAAAACCGCTAGCACACAGATGCCCTGGAACTCGGAGCTGGTTAATGACGCTACTCTGCAACCAGCAGCCCACAGGTAGTTTAGGAAGACACACGTCCAACTGTCCATCCGCACAGTCTGCCTCTGTCTTTAATGTCCTGCAGATCTTGGAAAGAGCAGACCAGTGGAACGCCGAGCCAGGGCTCTGATTTGACTTTAACACCTCGCAAGGCTGTAACAGTCTGTTGTCAGGGTAAGTCTGTAGGCACACCTCACAGGACAAAAAACTTGTAAGAAAAATATGCTGGGGTGTGCATGCTCTCTCTGGTGGTGAAGATCTCACACCCAAAGTGCAGCAGCAGAGGTGCCTGGTAACTGGGCAGGACCAGTCTGCTGCAGTGTTGGGGGGCAGTGGTGGGGAAGGCACGTGCCGTGGCGTGTGCCCACATCGCCCACTTCCAAAGTATCTTTAACTAAATGGCAAGATTTTGTTTTAATCACTTGCCTGCCAAGCTGAGCTTTACCCCACGGTCCCCAGAACCTTCTGAGTGCCTCCCAGTCAGGTTGAAAGATCAAATTTATTCTCTTTGTAGGTGGGTGAACACACACACCAAGAGGAAGCTATGTATATTTCATACACCTAAATATGAAATATACATTTTACAGATGCCTCACTCACTCGCTTTCTGTTCACAGAAGCCCAAAAACTCATGTGCCAAAGGGACATTTACCATGGACTCCAGTTGAGCTGGGTGCAGAGGAGGGTGCTGCAGCCAGGGCCCGAACTCTATGTGAGGGGCTAGACTACTAGCCATATACACGAGCTCTGGTGCCCTGCCAGAGCCACAGCAGCAAGGGGCACCAGGGCGCCTGTGTCTCATGCGGAACAGAGCGAGCGGCGGTGCCCAGCGTCTGCCTTGCTCTTCCCACCTCCGACACTGACTGCACACATAAGCCACCTTCCCAGGATACAGACCTATGTAGTCAGTAACTGATTCAGTTTTTCTTTTCTTTTTTCTTTTTTGAATATAAGTTAAACTCAGTCCCACAATCAAATTCTTTAATGGCGTGACATCTGGAACCCCATATGATTAATTTAATTTTCTAAGTTCACTATTTAGTGTCAGGGAAACTCCTACCCTGCTTATTAACATTTTTTCTCTCTCTTTTTTTTAAAGAAGACCACATCTTTAAAGTGTTGTATCTAAGCTCACTTCCAGCTTAGGCAGGCCTTGCACGATGGGCTAAGACCGGCTCTGGCCTTAAGATCAGGCCCACAACCTGCAAGCACTCTCCACCCTGCTGTTTAAACCCCACAGCAGTGCTCTGAGCGGGCACTCCCACTCTCCACAATGCCCAGGCCACAGAGCTACCAGCTGTGAAGCAAGGATTCAAACGCAGGTCTGCCGACTCGGGATGCTCTTCCCTGAGACCGACAACGGCTCTTCCAGGCTCGGGAGATCCCTGAGGCTGGCCTCCAGCCAGGGAAAAGGCTTAAGAGAAGAATTGATGCTGTGAGTCCACAGAAGGGCAAATGTTAAAAAAATGGCGTAGGCTGTTGCTGAAAGGGCAGAGGGAACACAGCTGCTCTGTGCCCTGCTCGGGGACGTGTCCTTCAGGAAAGGCTCTACAGACGGACACAATGTTCATTCCCTGGAGAGAGAGAGGTCTATGTTCCCAGATAAAGACTGAAACCAAAGCGGGTCTGCAACTGGACATGTACGGTCAAGCCGGAGCCAACTTTTACTCTCTCATTTTGCAATTTCCCTTCTGGCTCTTATTTCTGGAGAGCAGGCAGATGCAAATGTTCCACTTATTAAGAAATAGCAAAAAAAAAAAAAGTAGTGCACTGGGACCCGTGTCACTGAGGAGTCTGGGCTTCAACTTTACACCTGCTACCTTCTCGGGTGGCTACAACATTAATAGCAGTAAGGGACAGACTTTTCTGGGCTGTGCCCTGTACCCACCCAGCCCTCTGTGCCTCTTTCAAGAAGGGTACTATCGTCTCCTGATTCTGCACAGGAAGGGCCAGCTTAGCAAGGTCCAGGACCTGCCAGAGCCTCACATCTGGTGACAGATGAGGAGTCTGAGGCCTTGCCCCAACCACTGTGCCCTGCTGGCTCTGCAGCACCCCATGCTCCCGGCCGATCCCACAGAGCCAACTGCAGCCATGATGAAGCACTGTGGGTCATTAAAGCCCACAAAAACCCTAATCGAGAACTTGCAGTAGTTCCAAGGAACAAAGTGTAAGACCGATGATCATCTACACGGTGCCTGGTCATTCTAACAATGAACATACTCCTGACAAGGGATGGTCTGAGGTCCAGTAGAGCAGGGATGTTTTATGAGAAAAACTGCTCACACACCTTGTTGATGAACTATGTCTATAATAGTTCTTTTTGATCACCATTTACTGACCAGACTTCACACTTGTGAAAGTGGCTAAGATTACTAATCTAAAAGGCAGTTTAGGGCTCGGGACGGAGCTCAGAAGTACAGCGCTTGCCTAGCACATGTGAGGCTCCTGGTTTGATCCCTAGTACCGCCAAAACAAAACCAAGCAACACCATTTCATATTTCTGGTCGTGCGTACACAGGCACAAAGCACAGTCCAATGTGTCACCTGTGAATCCCAATGACCTGGTTTTGAGTCCCAGAAGGATTGGTGAGTGCCATTCTGCCCTCATGAAAGCTCCTCGCCCAAGTCTCGATCTCCTCACTGTCAGCTGGGGCAATGGTGACCTCACGGGGCTGCTAGGAGGACTAAATGGGATCCTGTGAGGTAACAGCTTGGCACATTCCCAGGTCCCAGACACACACTCCAGCAGCAAACCTTGTGACCTTCTCCTCTCCTCTGATCAGGTCAACTTATAACTCAGGCCAGGACCAGTCGGGGCCAGTCCCTGTCTCGAGTGTGTCTGATCCACTGAAGACACACTGCAGACTGACTGTCTACTCCATCCTCAGGCATAAGAAGCCAAATGCAAAACAGTCAAGAAATGTGACAGACTCACACCCAGTGACACTACCCACATGTGTGGGTAAGGGCACACTGAGTGAAGGCTGGAGGGGACAGGGGACTGGAGGGTGGGTGGGCCTGACAGGCAGCTGTGCAGGGTGCTCAGGGCCACTGAAACGACTCACAGCCTCCACCCAGAACCACACGGAAACTGGGTCTTCTTCCTGTGTGGCGGCACCATGCGTTACAAACCAGGTGAAGCAGCATGTGTGAGGCAGATAGATGCCTTCCTCCTGCCTCGCTGTCCAGGGCAGGAGCATTTAGTTAAATCACTCTAATGACCCAGAGAGGGACCCCCAGGGCTAAGCTGTGACGCTGCCCCGGACTGGCTCAGGCCCAGATCTTTCTGGGGAGCCTGCTGCCACCCGGACTGAACAGACTGAAGCCCATTAGCTGGGCAGGACCAGCGCACACATCCAGCTCAGAGGAGGAAGAGACACATCTGAGACTTGGCCTCCTCTGATGGTCATGATCCTTGAGATGTGAGTTCTGCTTAACAGAAGAAAACTGGCACCTCCCACATAAGGTCTCCACCACCCCAGGGCCAGATACGAGCCTTAGCGGCCAGCAACAAGCACAATCAACAAGACTCACGTGGTTTCTTTTTCTTCCTTTAAAACAATCATCCTTTGCCAGAATGGACAAAATATCTTCCATCTTAACTTCAGAAATGCTGTAAAAGGAAACACACATCAAAGTAAACACTCTACTTTTTCAAAAACACTCCAAGCCCAATGCATAAAACCGGTCCATCTTCAAGCTAATCCATGCCCAAGAGGACCCCCATGACACTGCAGCTCTTGGAATGTCCAGCAACTGCCCTCCTCTCTGAATGGAAGACAGTGCACATCTACAATCCCCTTCAAAGGGACAGCGCCATCATTTCTTAATAAATCTTGAATGCCACACAAGTAGGCTTGTTTGTTGAAGTCCTACCCCGACTTGAGCAGATGATGAAATAAACATCCTGGAGAATGTGAAAGGAGGAAGGAGAAGACAGGCACAGCGGGCAGGCAAAGGCCCTCCATGCTGGGGACACTCCAGTGACAGGTGTCAGTGGCCCAGCCCCTGGGCTCAGCACCTCTGCTCTCTGCTCCTGCCATGGAGAACTGCCACTATTCCATCGCTTACATGTTCAGGGTAAGGGCCAAAGACCTACGCACAAATTGCTAAAACCAGAACCGGCTTCCTTTGTGAACAAAAGTCGAGCAGAACAAGAGACAAGTTTGGAAAGCCCACACTGCACCTGTGAGCCCAAGGCCCCTGCCCTGAGCAGGGCGCACACACAGGCCCACAGTCAGAGAGGGCCACCTGAACTCTGAAATGCTACTTCCAGGGAGAAGGGAAAGGGAACAAGCAATTCTGGATGAGAAAACAGATAAAAAGATAAATGATCCGTCGTGGTCTTTTTAATGTACCAGCACACTGCAGCACGAGCAGCAGCCTCTGCCACAGTAGGGGACTGTCCTCCCCTTCCCCACAGGTCCCCCCACAAGGCCATGAAAACACCACTACTGAGACTGCCACTGGCTCCCCAGCGCCCACCCCAGTCCCCGCTCCACAGAGGAGAGGCCCTGGCAGTGGCCAGAGTCAAGGCAGGAGGCAGAGGGGGGCACAACACCTGGGGCTGCTCCCATTCCTCCTGGGAGCCTCAAGGTGCCAACAGCCCTGTCACATCCTGCTCCAGCTCACCTGGCTCTCTTCAGCACCTTTCTTCTTGGGGGGCAGGGTACAAATGGGAAAGAACCTAAGAACTTGGAGTGAAACCTTGAAATGGGGGGAAAGGAAGGAAGAATGACGCCCCCACAGCCAGGGACACACACAGTGAAACAAGCCACAGCCAGGCCACACGCTCAACGCACCAGTGTTTCCCCCCGGCCTGGGCATGGCCCGGGCACCTGGAGGACCAAGAGCACTGCCCTAGGCACTCAGGAACCGAGAAGGAACTGGAGTGATTTCCAGTTTCAAAGGGCCTTCTTCCTGTATTTCTAAGAAATCGCTGCTTCTGAGGAACAAAGCAGATCTACAGTGATTATTTATGGTCCTATCAACAGATCTGAATCACCCACCTTGCCAGGGGGAGAGATGGAAAAATAAATAAATCCAGGGTCTGTCTTATGCCTGATCTAAGATATACACAGTTTGATGCAGAATTTTCATTTTAATGAAGTCATGACTTTCATTATCAACACATTTAAAGGGGAAGCAGGGAAAGTTAGGGAGCTAGTGAACACAGAAGTCGAAAGGACACAGAGGCAGAGTTCTGGGCACACAGGCATGGCAGCAGTGACCCAGGGCACCTGTCTCTTGCCTGGTCTGCTAAACTTAATTGTCAGGATGCGCTCTACAGCACCGGTACATGAAGGCAGGCAGCAATTTGTTGTGATGCCCTTGCTGCCAAGAGCCTCTGCCTGCCTTCCTGCATCTTCTCTGCAATTTATCAGCCACCCGGCGTCCTGCCGCCTGGCTCCTGTGTGCTCAGGCACAAAACGCTTCCTCCTCCTGCACCTTCTTTTAATCTTTAGAGTATGCCTTTTGGATTCCAGAAATGTTCCAGTCTGCACCTTCCCACTGCACTCTGCAACCAGTTCTCACTAGGTTTTATTTTATCTTGTATTAAATCAAAGACACAGTTTACCTGTAGACAGGCAGTGTGCAGCTTTCCCTCAAGCAGGAGTAAAGACAGGCGTGCGACTCCACCGACTGGCTAGCCAACCCAGCCTCCTTGAGAAGTTCCACGTGGCCCTGGAAACCCTGGCTCCCCCTTTGGGAAGCACAAGGCACCCTTCCCAGGGCCCGGGCCCGGCCCCGCCCTGGCTCTGCATGCCCAGTGAGCTGGTGCAGTCTCGCACTGAGGCTGGCGGTCTGCTTTCCAGACAACAGCACTGAGGGGCTTGCACTTGTCCCGTCTTGATCGTACCGGCCCCCATAACTCCTGCCTGGCTAACACTGCTCTCCCTTTCCAGCTTTAGATTTACATCTGAACCCTTGATAGCAATAGACATGAATGTGTTTATTTATTAATCTTTTTTAAAAAAAGGACCACAAAAGAACCATGCTGCTCGCTCAGGCCCTGGGCAGCCATGTGGTCTACAACTGTGGCCCTGCTTCCCAAGGAGACTAGGCTGACATGAATGGGCACAGAGACACACAAACCAGGAACCAGAGAGGGACAGGAAATGGGAACTGCAGGTGTGGAAGAAGAGGACCTGGCTCCGTCTCAACCCAGCCAAGACTTCCCAAGCGCCTCTGCCTGAGGTGCCATCAACTGACTGACATGCAATTTCTTTTTTTTTTTAATTGTTACTTTTTAAAAAAAAATTTTTTATTTTTTAGTTCTTGGCGGACACATACAACAGCTTTGTTTGTATGTGGTGCTGAGGATCGAACCCGGGCCGCACGCATGCCAGACGAGCGTGCTACCACTTGAGCCACATCCCCAGCCTGACATGCAATTTCTCTCATAACAAAACCATGCACACCTTCCTAAAACAAAAAACCACTCCTTCAATGACAGATCATATCGGGAAAAGAACAAGTTAGGAAGAGAAAAACCCAAAGTCTTTATTTTGGCCCATCTGAAATTAACCTCAGGATCAGGTCACTACTCATCCCTGATCACCAAAGGAGGCAGGTATGTTTTGAGAACAAGCCTCAGCCCACACTAACAGCCTTAAAAGGCTTTTGAAAGTCTTACTGGCCTACAGGGCTCTGCAGGCTGAGAGCATGGGGGAAACTGCTGGGACACACATGCAGCCCTGGCCTGGGGGCGGCCAGCAATCAGACCTGGTCCCCGGTCTGCTTGAACAGTTTAGTTCTGATGTATAGTACAGTCATTTTCCCAGCTCTGTACTTTAGAGGGGAAAATGTCACATAGTTTTATTTGTTGTTTTACATAAAACCTCGGGCTGGGCACAGAAACTATAGGAAACCAGCCGTGGCAGCCAGGAGCACAGCTGAGACGTGCCCAGAACAGCCCCGACCTCAGTGCTGCTCTGAGAGTCGCAACTGCCATTCGGGCAGACACAGGGCTCTTTCTGTGCTTCCAAAAATACCTTTAAACATCACTGTGCTGTGTTGGGGCACAAGAAATCCTTCAAAGGAGATCTGTGTTGAAAACAGCACACCTTTAGGAGCTCGTCACTGAATTGCTGCTGCAGGTGCCAGGATTTCATGGAAGACACAACATATCCGTGTGTGGCCCAGTGAGTCGCTTCTGAGGGCTCCCGTACCCTCCCAGGCCTGAGGTCTGCTGTCTGACTGCTACACTGAGGTGGTGGCTGGGAAATCCTGGCCGTGGACATGCAGTCAGAGCCCTTTCAACTGCCTCCAAATATCCCCCAGGGTCACCTGTAGGTAAGAAGCTTATTGTTTTGAAGTTATAAACATTAACTACAGGAAATGAAGACTGGGAATAGGAAGGGCCTGAGGAGCTGGCTGGAAGACTGTGCATGCTCACCCAGAGTCAGAGACACCAACACGGCCTCGGTATTCAGGAGAAGCCAAGTGCCACGGATCCTGACTCCGCTGGCAGCACAATGGGAACTGTCAGGTGCTGATGGCATTAAGGGCTCTAGTTTTTGCCACTGGCTATACTGGGACTCATTTAGGGATCACAAGGGTTAATGGCTCTTCGGCAGCTTACAAGGGCCATGCACTGTAAAAGGCGACAGGAAGTTAATTAGGTGAGATCAGCCGAAGCCCATGCGGGCTTCTGACTCACTTGATTTTGTGAGCAGCCAACGAGTTGACATATTCTGCCTCCGAAGGAGCCAAGATGAGCAGGCTGCTCCCGTGGCAGCCAATCCGGGCGGTTCTTCCAATCCGGTGGATGTACTCTGCAGGTGAAGACGGGGCGCTGTACTGAACAGGGCAACAGAAACAAAGGTGTTCACAGATCAAGGGACTGCCGATAATTACAAATGCAAACCCCCACTCCTGCCGCAGGTAGCCCAAGAATTAGACCCCGGTGCTATGGTCACCCTAACAACCACAGGGAGAAGTCACTCCCTGTGGTTGTTAGGGTGACACTCCTGGCCTCACTGAAGTAACAGGCTCCGACACGCCAAGCGAGCGGTGGCCAGGTTCCAGATGAACGAGACATCACTCATCCCAGTGCCTCCTTTCTAATCTCCCCTCTCCATGGGTCTCTTCATTTTCCTCTTGCATCTTTTCCCTGAGGGGATGTGCAAGCTGCACGTGCAGCACATGGGGTAGGCTTCTTGGCCCCCTCCTCAGGAGGCAGCAGCAGGGATAAGGCAGCAGAGGACGCCAGGAGGCATGGACAGGAAGGGGGCTGGCCATGGTGCCGGCAGAGTCCACCTCTACTGCTGGCCCCAGGAGCGGGCCTCAGTCCCCTGCAGGGGGGCCAGCCAAGCTTCTGCTCCAGGGGAGCGTTCCTGACACAGGAGTAAGAGCCACGCCAACTCGGCAGCACCCTGGCACAGTGTGTTTGTCATTGACGGCAGTAACTGTCATCATTAAAGGTAAATGACCAGAGTCACTGTTTCCTTTTCTCTCTGCTGCTACATGAACCACAGATCAGAGGGCCAATGTGAGCCCACTGTACAGGAGGCCAGGGACGTTAAACTAATCAATATTAACAGTACACTACCCTCCATGATCAATTTTGTGTCTGACCTCCAGCACATTAAAATTATCCTCTCCTCTCATTTTTCATTCACTCTGGCCAGCAGGAAAGAAGACACAACGTCGCTAGTCCCCAAGTGATCCTGTTACGAGCAGATCAGGTTCCCCAGCCAGACACAGGCATGCAGTTCCACTAAAATGTGAACAAACCCTGATTCTTGTAAACAGGCCAGTGTCCTCTGACCACATACAGAAGGGCTTGAAGACACCATTCTGCACACTAACCAAGAACAACAGGAAGCAAACCCACCGGACTCCAGCGCTGACATCTGCACCCACTGGCAAAGCATCTCTGGCTAGGGGTGTGTATAAGATGGAGTCAGGGACTTAATTGTTCCCTGCAGGCCAATGCACATGGACATGGTTCTCAGGACAGCTGGGCCATCTCCTTCTGGACACAATGAGGCCTCCCAAGAGCTCAGATAATTCCTGTGATTTTCAGACTGTTGAAACTTTGGTGTGTGACACCAGTCCAGAAGCAAGGCTGCCACCTCCCTCCTGGCTGTTCTGCTACAGCAGGGAGGTGGGATGGGTTAAGGAAAGATAGCAGAAGACTTGTGCAGACAGGGCTGACTGCTGCCTGGTTACCAGGGCAACACCCAAGAGGGTGATATAATTATTCTACTTAAGACCAATGCATCTGCTCATAATCATACATTCCAGCCTCAAGTTCACACCTGAACTACTAAAAAATTACCTGAACAATCCATGTGACTTGTGGGAGATCTAAGCCACGAGCTGCAACATCCTTTAAGAGAAAAAAAGAGCATGTTTAGAAGGAGTCTATTGACTTTCTGGGGGTCATGGATACACCTTGAACGTTCATTCACCCCACAACCTGCCCACACACAACTCAAGACACACCTTCAGTAGATCAGGAACCCACTCACATCCCTCTGTGGCTAAAAAAAAATCTTTGTGGCAAGTTCAACAGAACCCTTTAATAACTCAAGTTGCTAAAGGACTGCACCTTCCATCTGAATAGCTGCCCATGAAGCAAGTGTCCATGGACTGTTGCCCCACCCACCCTCCCAGCAACGCCAGTGGCCAGCAGTAAGGCTGCTGGAATGCCCCTCCTCAAGGGACTCACAGGGGTGGGGGAGGTGTTGCAAGCTGCCAAGTGTTCCTGTCAAGCTCAAGGGCAGTAAGGGTGGAGCATGCCGCTGTCCTTTCTGAGCGCTAAGTCAGAAGGCAGGCCATGACTGCTGATCACTTCAAAGGCTAAACCAGACAGCCAAGACCAAAAACAACTGAGACTTTATTTTTTCTTTTTAACTGGTCACTGCCCAGAGAGCAAAAACTCTCTGTTCTCTCTAAGTCTCTTGCTGGTGAGGACCTGGAAAACGGACGCTCCCAGTCTATCAATAATCTTCACTCAGCATCCCCTTTGGTCTAACAGGAACATTTTCACTTGACATTTACTGAGCACTTACTACACACCAGGCACTGGGTTGAGCACTGGTTTACCTGCATTATTTCGATGAACCCTCAAAACAGCTCTTTAAAACAACTACATCCCCATTTGGCAGATGAGGCAACCAAAGTTAGAGAGGTGAAGTAACATGTCCAAGCTAAGAAGAGGGGGGACTTCTCCAAGGCCATGTTAGATTAGGCCACATTCCACCATTAAAAAAGACACCGTGTCCCCCATGCCCACAGACGGTGGGAATGCAAAATGGTACCAAGCCCTGCGGTGGGGAATTTGGTAATTCAAAAATCCCATGCACACTGCCCTGCACTTGCCCTGCAGTCCAGAACCATCTCAATTCTAGAAGGGTACAACGGCAAGAACACAAAATTACACACACACAAGGCTTTTCCTCCCGCAGTGCGAGGAGACGGGCTGCGTGAGACGGCTGCGCTCCATGTAGTGGACTAGAAAGAGCGCCTTCAGGACACTGGTTTGGACATGCTCCAGGACGTGCTGAGTGGGCTGGGTGCACTCCCACATTAGAAACTGGGGGACACCCACACACCTGCTTACATTCCAGGAAAACCCCCAAAGCTTACGGAAACAGCCATAGGACAGGAAGAGGACAGGGGAGGAGGCACAGGTGGAAGCCAAACTGGCTCCTTCAGTGAACTTGGACTTGAGAACGTGCGGCCTAATTAAGAAGCAAGTGGAGCCGCTAGGAGCAGCTGGAGAAGCAGCTCTCGGGCAGCAGTGAGCAGCGTTGCCTGCACTGTTTCTCTTCAAAGGGACCAACGGCAGAACTGACACCCAGACCTCAGAGTCCAGGTCCAACTCCAGCAACAGGGAGGACGACACTGAACCACCCCCAGGGGCACTCTTGGCCAAATTCAACCGCGGAGGACTCCAAGAACCTACCACCTGATGCCTTCAACCAGCATTGGGGGAAGAAAGGAGCAAGAAAAACCAAACCACCAGAGACAGACGGACAGATGGCTCAAGCAGGCACGGGTGGTGTTGGCGGGCACAGCGGCCAGCTGGGGTCATCTCTGGACCGGGGGATCCAAGGCGACAAGGTGATTTCACCTTTCTCTTTGCGTTTCCCTTGGTTTGGCTATCATTTCTCCCAAAATTCTGATTCAGAAAATCAGAGCCCAGGTGAGCTGAAGACTGGCCCAGTGGGCCTCGGTGGCATGGTCAGAGCCAGCAGCTGCTGCTGGTCAGCACCTCCTCCTCCCCCACACACTGCTACCACCTTTCAGCCCTGGAGACTCACTGGGCATCTCCTAAGTGAAAGGACACGCCACATAACCACTACATCAGCACGCTTTAGGAAATCCAACACTGAACAAAACCACCTCCTCGTGAACAGCCCATCCAGGAGCGTGTAGCAGATCACACAGCTGGGTGTGGCGGCACGTGCCTGGAACCCAGCAACTGGGGAGGCCAAGGGAGGAGGACTGCAAGTTCAAGGCCAGCCTGGGCAACTTAGTGAGACACTGTCTCAAAGTAAAAAGGGCTGGGGATGTGGCTCAGTGGTTAAGCACCCTTGGTTCAGTCCTAGGACCTCACACAAATACACACAGCCCGGACCCCGGTGGCGTCCCCCAGATTTCACCACAGCACCCCTGCCTTGCACTGACTCCTTTAGACATTTGTCAGTTTGGCTTCTCAAGAGTGTGGCTGTCTCGAGGAACACCACACGCTGGTAGGACACGACTTGAGGGTGGTGTGTGTCCCAGGACCCCTTACGGGAGGCGTCAGGGTGGTCTGACCTGGGCAGGCAAGGACCTGCAGTGAGCAGTGCCCTGGCTCTGACACTGCGAGGGGACCTTTCTTCTTTGCAATGACTAAGGAATGGGAGGTGGAACATGGAGACCTGGGAACACGGCTTCGTAAGATACATCCGCTGAGGGCTCCGGCTTCCACTGACGCTCCTTGTCTGCACCAATAGTGGCCCTGATGGCACAAAGGATGGCTTTCTACCACCCCTCCCCTCCACTGCACAGCTGGGAAACCCTTCAGTAAGGAACAGGCTCTCCACCACTTTTAAGAATCACCAGGATTCAGATGATATACATGGCTTATGTGAAAAGTAATCCCATGCCAAGATCCTGTAAGACCAGGCTTGCTGTGCGCCCAGAGTGAGGGGGGACTCAATGAGGCGTTGTCCTGTACCACTCACCCGGAGGTACCTCAGAGACCACCTTCTCTACTCGCTCTGAGAACTCCTAGTTCCCTTGGAGTGTGCTAGGCTGCGCCTGTTAAGTGTGCAAGCAGAGGCTGGCACACAGGTGTGTCAACCACCCGCAGTGTCTTCAGATGGCACAAGTGCCCCGAGAGAGGATGTTCTGAGTGTTTCCACCTAAGAGGAGAGGACCGGCTTGGCTACACCAACAGTCGATGGCTTCAGGAAAGCTAACGGACTCTCCCACCTGCAAAGCTCCTGTTAGGAAACGACTTCTCTTATTAAGTGCTCTGCTGGCAAGGGGCTCCTGAGCTCTACAGATAGGCCTTGTAAAACATTTCACGCTCGATGGTTCAGTACTTCCATCAGGAAACTCAGATAAAACAAAGCCAGCCACGACCCGCGGGAAGTTCCCTGGGCCTACACACTGACAGGCGAGTGGTGGGGGGTGCGGCAGCCTGCTTGAAGGTGGGGTCCAGCCCTGCACCACTGGCTGACACTGCCTTCCTGGGTCCTGCTGCTGGCATGGGTGGCGCTGCCCACTGCCTGGGCTCTTGCCCAGATCTGAGCCAACACTGCCGTGAGTGCTTCTTTCGAACATGCCCAGCCGTGGCTACGAGAGTGAGGAGGAGCTGAGGAGGATGGTCATGTGGTCCAGAACAGGGAGGATGGCCACTGGCTTAGCAGGGTCAAGTCAGCTGAGCCTCAAGTGGCCATCCACTCAGAGGCTACAGCACAGCCCTCTCTGTCTCATGAGGCTGCCGTGGAGAGCTCATCAGACAGTGTATGTGTGGACCTCAACCCTGTGCACGTGTGTCCTGCCTCCTGTCAGGAAGGAAGACGGTGGGGATTAGGCAGTGGCAACCCAAGCCCCTTTGCACTCTTTTCCCCCATCAGAACCCACCCAGAGTCCTGGGCAGGGACCTCGGAGAGCAGGAGATGCTCCATCTTCCCAGATGCTCCAGCCAGCAGCCCCAGATCAACAGGAACCAAAGATTGCTGGAGACTCCCAAGGCCGCGGTTTGCGGCCTGCTCTCAGAATGCGAGTCCAGCCGCCGCCCGCTCCATCCCTCTAACCTAATTAGGGCAAAAGAATCGCTAAAGTCAGTTCTGAAAGACACTCACCAGCAAGGCCTTGAGGGCCCGGGCTTGACAACTGGCTGCCTCCATGAGACCCAGGAGTACAGATGGAAGGCAGCCTGCTCAGGTGCCAGGCTGTCAGTTGGATTAAAATGACTCATTTATTTACCCAAGAACCTCGCAAAGCACTTTTACTAACAGGGAGAGGGGGCCTGCTGCCTCTCAGAGAAGGGACGCAGCAAACGCGCCTCTGACGCCTTCCCGGCCTGCCAAAAGTCATTACTGCCGTGTGTGGAAAGCCATCAGCAGGGTACAGGCCCCCGCTGTCCGGGTGACAGATTGGGCTGCGTAATCAGAGGAGGAAGGGGAGAGTGCAGAGCTGTCAGAGGCGAGAGAGCTTGGCTGGAGCCGCCAAAAAACTGGCAACATGAGTTAGTGTGACTGAGTAAACAGCGACCCATCTCCAGATGATCCTCCGTGAACACCAGTGAAACAGAACGCAAGACCCACTGTACCCAACAAGCACGCCCCGAGAAGAGCAAGAAGTCTACAGTGCGAGGGGTGCTGCACCGACACTCCCGCAACTCCTACACCTCAGCTCCTTTGTCTCCTGGCCGCCTGGCAGGGCGGAACTTCCCCAGGAGGACAGGAAATTAGGAGCGGTACAGGCACAACAGCGTTCCAAGCGGAAAAACGCCCAGGAGGCGGAGGGAGATGAAGGAAAGCAGCACACGTGCTGGACAACCTAGAGCTGCCCAATCCAGGCCTGTCCCTCCTGGGGAGGAGGTCTCTGTGCTCCACTTCCCAGGGGCCACCATGGACAGCCAATGCGCCAAGAGAAGGCCTGGTCTGAGCCAGACCCCCTTTCCTGCACTCTTCCCTCTGCCAAAGCCCCAGCGTAGTGGTCCACAGACCAGGCTCCTTCCCTGGCCGTGGGCTGGTGCCTCACTATACAGCAGCCGTTATTTTGAAGATAGTTCAATGTTTTACATTTGATTTCTTTGCTCTCAGTTCCACTTGGGAAAGCAGGCCTGGAACTTTCCAATGACTCCTTCCTACTTATCCCTAATCCCGTTCTTAATCTGGCCTCTCACACTGCCAATGTGTGAAGGCTTCTTCTCTTGGCAAGTGGTCTCCTTCCCTGACCACACTTCAATTCTGCCTCAGCTCCATCTGGACACAGTCCAGCACTTCCCAACAGTCAGGCTACGAAGGCCTGGGCCTGTCCCAGGAGGGCTGCCTGGGGCCCGAGGCCCTTGCTTTAGGGTGATCATCATGAACACCAACAACTCACCGCCCTTAAGTGCTCCTAGGAGTAAGGGAAAGAGGGCGAAGGAAGGAGCGTGTGTGGTTCCATCTCCACTTCCACACTGGCAGACACTGTCTTCTCTGGCCTTGTTAAAAGGTATTGGGATGATATATTAAAATGGCCAACGGTACAGTATGAAGGAGAGAAAATCCCGATGCAATAATTAACAACATGAGTCCCCTTTATCAGACAAAGCCAGTTCTCCATCTGCCTCATCCTGACGCAGCCTCGTTCCTCATTAGCACCGAGGAGGTTCCTGGGGAGCCTTCAGATAGCCTGGCAAGCAACAGGCTGCCTAAAGGATGCAGAGTGACAGTGCCGCCCCACCCCAAGACGATCTAGCATGGCGTGTGTGTCTCACGTACCCTGTGGTTCTCCAACACAGAAGTGTCAAAGGAAAGCCAACAGACACAGCAGGAGTGGCAGGAACACGGAGTAAGAGTGCACCTGCACCAGCACCAGCACCAGCACCAGCACCTGGGCTCACCCGGCTCGGCACTCTCCGGTCACCTCTGCAGGGCCAGGGGCAGCGCAGGCTGTGGTGGAAGGTGTGGCACTGGAAGTGACCAGGAAGCCGGGGACCTCAACCACAGACTTTAGGAAATCAGGCTGTGGGCAGGCAGTTGGCTGTGCACTCGTCACCAGGCTGGCAAGGGGCTAGGGCTTGTGCTCTTTGTCTGGCTGATATCACTTGACTACAGGTAGCAGCCAGAAAGAACAGGAAAAGTGATCATATGCTTTGACCTAGTGAGAAATGACATTTCAGAAAGAATGGTCTGCTTTCCACCTAGGGCTACTAAAAAAACAGCTTTGAGACCTGTACTCGCCCATTTCCCTAAAGCATGATGCTTTCGTGTACTGGGAGCCTCAACAATGTCCCCAGGACAATCCAGGAACTTAATGGACCAGGAGAAAATGCTCTGTACACACCCCACCTACATCCCCCCAGCAAGGTTCCTACTGCTCCCAGAGAAACTACCTGTACCACTCAGCCTCACACACCAGCAAGCGGACAGCAGGAGCGTGCTGTGGCCAAGTGTGCCTGTTTAGACAGCGGCATGCACTGGTGGTCCTTGACACGAGCTCCTGGCCCCACCCATCCACCAGCCAACCATAGGCAGTGCCTGCTCTGTGGGTGACTCCGGGATGAAGGAGAATGCACTGCATGTCTTCATGGAGCCCGTGACCTGGCAACACCCAGCCACATGTGGAAGAGAAGTGAGCAGGCATGGGAGGCCCTGGGACAGCCAGGGCACCCGGGGCTCCTCCTCCTGAGGTGGTGAAACACAGGCTCCGACCCATATCAGGCTCAGACCAGTCAGTCTGGGTACTGGAGGCAAAAGGAAAAGTACCTAACACTTCTCAAGGCACATTCAAGGAATTTAAAGAGGGGCAGGTTGGGCTGGGGGGTAGAGAAAAAGAGGCGAGGCAGGTGAGGTAACTCGGGGCCAGGCCCTGGGACAATACCACTGCTGCATGACATGGATTCCCAGTGTCCTTATCAACAGACCATTTGGACTGGATCTTTAGATATTTCAAGATGGTCTATTCCTTTGTTGATTATGGTACTGGGATGGAACCCGGGACCTTGAACAAGCAGGTGCTCTAGCACCGAACCACACCCCAGCCTAACGCTGGTTTAGGAACAAATGCAGGTATCTGCCTGGGGAGCTGGCTGAAGGACAGACACAGCTGGCCTCCCAGGAGGCACACATTCTAGAAGCTTCTCAGCTCTGAGTGCCGCACACAGGCAAGCCTCTGCCATGCCTGTGTGAGAACAGCACTGCGCCAAGCAGTCTCCAGGAAGAGCTTCTGTTAAACAAACACAACAAACTCACACAGACAAAGCTGCACTTGCCCAAGCTTAAAAAGAACACAGTCTCTCACACCCTCAAAATTGAACACGCAGCAGGAGCTCCTAAAAAAGCAAGTGCTTTGCTGAGCAAGGGGAGCGGCTCCAGGCTACTCTCCTCCAGGCCGCGCTCGCGGCACACCCCGCATGCACGCTGCACTTCCTCAATGCACACGCGGGACTCCCACGCAACCACACAGGGTCATGTTATGTCATCCAATGTGGCATGAGCAGAGAAGGCATCTCCTCTTGGGAGAGAGTGACATCATGGTCAAGCGAGTCCCCGGAGAGGAGGGATCATTCAAGGTGTGGTTCTCAATCTTGAGAGCACAAGAGATTAAAAAAGCCCATGCTGTGTGGAGGGCCCACTGAGGCCCGGTCACCTGTTCCTGAAGATCACAGGCGAATGCCGGTTCTGGACAACTGCAAACGGAGCTGTCCAAGAGCATCTATCTCCTTTAAAAAGGTGAGCAGAGGTGAGCAGTCACTTCTGCTGCGGAAAGACTTTCTCAGCTCTAATGACTCCCGATAGCTGTAATTTACAAGTTTTTGGTGGATAGAAATCACCACAATTCACACATTCTCAGACTAACAGCTGCCACTATTAGTGAGCAAGTCGCTAAATCTCCTGCACAGAGGCAACTAGAGGTGTAGGAGAGCAGCCACGTCACTGCCCCCGAGGAGCTGGCCACGGCCCCAGCCCAGACGAGCCCCACGCGAGCGCAGAGCGCTACGTACCGTGCAGAGGAGGATGCCCGTTCTGGAACGTGAGAATTCCTGGAACACCGATGTTCTCTCCTGCAAAACAAAGAACAAAGGGCCTCATGACACCAAGCTAATGCCACCAAGGAAAGCTACGACTTCTGTGAATTCCTGCCTTCCTACTACTCTACTTGTAGGCACAGAGAGGTTTAGCAGGAAAAAGGAAGACATCCAGCTGAACTCCAAGACCTGGTATCAGAGTGGGAGTTAGTGACAGCACACCTCAGGAAGCCCACAACTGGGGCACATCCTTCACCCATGCTGATGACAACCCTGTGAAGGCCGAGCCTCACTCCCTCTCCAGACGGACAATGGAGGCAGCGAGAGGTTGTGAAACCTGCCTGAGGGGCACACACGGAAAGGCCACGCCATGTGTGAACAGGCTGTGTTGGAGGGTTGCTGCTCAGACCTTCACATGGCAGGTCACGGTCCAGCCCACTGTGTGGCAGTCTCTATAAGCATGACTTTTACTGATTACGTTGTAGCCTCAAATTCAGCAAATTTCCTGAAAGCCAGAGAAACGTCTTGAAGACGGGACAGACGTACTTAGGCTGGGGAAGGGACGAACCCTGGGCCTGGTGTTGGCAGCAGCCCCACGCAGCCTCTCCTCCCAGCAGGTGCTCCCCACTGGCGCTCACAGACTCGTCTGGGACGTCAAGCACTCAGGGAGACTGCTCAGGGGCAGGGGCCAGGAAGAGGGAACAGGGACTATTTAAAATGGGAGGCAGGGTCCCCACCTCCTGCCCTCCAGCTAGCCATGGGAGGCTATGAAGGCCAAATCCATAATATCATAACATCAGTAAAAGGTTGACAGTTCTTAAGCTGCATAAAAGGCCAAACTACTCCTGAAAAAGAACAATGCAAGGGTGGCCCTGTGAGCCCAAGCGCGCCAAGAGGGACTTGTGCAGTGCTCCTGCGTCCCCAGCTCACAGACAGCGCCACAGGCAAAGGGAGGACCTGAGGTCCCACAGGCGGCCAAAGATAGAACAGGACCAGAACACAGCACTCTACCTCTGGGGGGCCCAGGGCGCGCGCCATGCTGGTGCCACCCCATTATGGAAGCCTGCGCCACCAATACCCAGAGGTCACCAGGCGCATCCACAGCCCCTCAGACTAACGGAACCAACAGCCTCCACTCAGCGGAAGATAAAAATCAACGGCTAATAAAACTCACAAAGGCTGGAAATTGAGGGACCTCTATGTAATCTGGTGGCAAATAAGCTGAGTCCACCAGTGACCTTGAATAAGGCCACTGTTTTGAGCCTCCATTTCCTGAGCTATGAAAACAAACAGGACAAAGAAGGAATGGCCTTGTTTAAGATCTCGTCAGGCCATTCACGCCTCAGAGTGCTATGAGCTGCTCTGGTTTGGCGGTGGTGGTGAGGGGTGTCAGTGAGCCCAGGGCTTCCCATGGGGGCCCAACCACTAAGCCCCGACACTGTGGTGTGTTGTGGTTTCCCTCCTCCCTTTCTTACCTCCTATGCTCCAGGTAACCTTGCTCCCACCTCGAGGACAAGATGGCCCCTCTTCCAGGCCCACTTGTCCTCCCCTCCCCACCTCCAGCGAGCACGCCTCTCCCCTACACTGCCCTGACCTCCTGACATGTAGGACTAAGCATCTGAGACCAGGAAGACAGGGCACTCTTCCTCACGAGCATGAGTCCTACTCTCTGAGAAGAACGGCTGGAGCCCTGTGGTGCGCTGGACCCTCCCATCCCAGCGTCCAGCGTGCGGCGCTGCGTCTTGTTGACAATGGCAGCAGCCGTGCTCAGCAGTGCCATATGGGATCCACAGTTTAGCTCCATTAATGCTCTTAATTTGAAGACATCAAGCCCTAATTACACACTGGGTACTAAAAAGGCAAAACCCTTCCCTGGTGCCAGCTACTTAGTGGCACTCTGTTGCTGTAACAGCTGGCTGGGGTAGACGTGGGCCAAGCTGGGCCGGGAAGCTCTCAGGTGGAAGGAGTGGGCTTTCAGAGCAAGAGCAAGCAGAACCACGGGACCCTCGCCCACGCCCACTTGGTGGGCCCCTATTTTCTGCAGTCTGCTGTGGGCCGGGTGCTCACCTCCTGCGCCATGTTGCCGTGCAGCCGTAGGAATGCCAGTTGCGGTGAGGCAGAGGGCAGCTGCCCAGGGGCTGGGGCCCGCAGGCGGTTCATCAGGGTCTGCAGGAAGAGGTGGTAGTGGAACTCCACCAGCTCGCAGCTCGAGAAGAAGACGATCACCTTCTGGTCCTGCTCCAGCTGTGTCAGAACCATGGGGAGAAGCACAGTTTTTAAGGTGTTTGGGATCAAATGAGCTCTTCTAAAGTACAGGATCATGCCGGCCCCGACTTGGTGACAGAGCTTTCAATTACTCAAGAGAAAAAATTGATACTCCACTCTATGAAGAACACAGGGAAGGAAAATGACACAGCTCTGACCTCAAACAGAAAAGAAATGCACTTTAATGGTGCAGCTGACCCCCATCTCCGGCCTTTCTTTGCTCAGTGCTCATCACATGCAATACTACCCACTGCGGTCCTCTATGCACAAATAAATCTGAAGCCTCATCCCAAGTCCTGCAATCTCCCCTTCTCACAGCGCAGGGCGAGCCAGCACCTGAAGCTGATGGGTGAACGGCACCAGCACCAAGGCCCAGGAGCAGCAGCTCCTGCGCGTCTTTGATGTGGCCATGGCCTTCCCACACTTAATCTGGGAAGGTACTCAGATTTCAACCTGAACACCATGACTACCGCTACCTGCAGCTCCTTACCACCACCCTGGAACCTCTGATTGAAAGGAGATGTATCAAGGTCTGCTTTCTGCGTGCGCGCATGCACGTGTGTCTCCTCAACCCACTACTCTCAATGCCTGGCGCAAACCAAACAGTGTCCCTTCCCCACAGGGCCAAGTCTGGCCAGTCGTACCTTGCCCTTCTGGAGGAGGAAGGCTGCGAGGCACACAAGCCGCAGTTTGCTGGGCACCAGTGCCACATGCTGGTCGAGACTCTCTGGTATGGCAAAGCCACCCAGCTGGTCAGCAGCTTGGGGAGGAGTGACTTCCTGGGTCACTTGGTCCTTTGGGTTAGACTGGTCATGACTTTTGTCCAGAACAGAAATACTGACTGGATTGTGCAAACTGATATCAGCTAGCCGTGCTACACCTTGGACAAAAAGTGAGGAGGACAACAGAAATGGTTCATACATTCATACCCCCAAACACCCACCAAATCCCAGCAACTCAGGAGGCTGAGGCAGGAGGATCACAAATTCAAGACCAGCCTTAGCAAGGCCCTAAGTAACTAAGCATTATCCTACCTCAAAAATAAATAAATGTGGCTCAGTGATAGAGCACCCCTGTTTTCAATCTCCAGAACCATAAAAATAAGTAGATTGACATCCCAGCACTGATCTGTCCTAATGCCACTTTGGTGGGGCAGTCCACAGCCCAATGCCCACACCTGTCTGTATGTTCTGAACTCTCCCCAAGAGATCATCCAGAAGGTACCAAAGGATGTCTGCATCCACTCCACTGCCACCCAAGGTTCTTGGGTCAAGTAAGTTTTAGATCAAAGCAGTGCCACGGACTCCCTGGCCACAGGCCTTCTCAGGCCTCTAGTGTGTTTGCACCATGAGTCTCCCAGGAGGGGAGCTGGTGGTCATTTCCTAAACTTATTTACTGGACCACAGGATGCTTTTTTTGTGGAGTGACATTCCTCAGCACACCCTTGGAGCAGTGCTGAGGGGTCACAGGAGTGGCGCCTGGCTCAGCAAACTGTGACCAGGGAAGCAGGGCTGTGGCCTCCCTATGCAGGTGAGCCTGCTGGAGTGGTCCCATGTTTCCAAGCCTTAGCTCTCCCATCTGCAGAAGAGCTAAGAATTTCCACCCCATGAGGGTGGGAGAAAGAAGTAGGAGGATTACATTAAAAGCCACACCTGGAAGACTGGGGTGCCACTCGGGCAGAGCACCCGCCTAGCATGCACACCACCATTTTTTAGAACAGAGGCCCTGCTCCCTCTGGTTGCAACTTCAGTGAAACTCTGGGAGATCATAGGCCAGCGGTGGGCAGCCTTCTCTCCTCCTTCCCACCTGCAATGACCCTGGAGCTGGGTGGGACCTGCCCTTACTCCCCTGCCCTAGGCCCTGGATACCTGGAAGTGGTGGGGAATACAGAATGGTCTGGAAGTGGTACTCTTGGGACATTCCTCCCCTGTCTCTGAGCTTGGGCATCAGTGCCAGCAAACAACCAGTCCTCCCTGGGCCCCCCAGGACCCCAGCTCTTTTTCAATGCACCTTCTGAGAGCGTGGCGGACAGTAAGACGTTCTGTCGCTTCTGGCACTGGGCATTTACAGCATTGAGTATCACTGTGACATCCTTTTCAAAACCCAAGTCCAGGATTCTGTGATCATAAGAGAGGAATTTAATCCATGTGAGAGTGCATGTGATACCAGGCCAGCGGCTGCCTGCAGGAGAGCAGAAACAGCTTCCCCTCCACACTTCCCAGAGGAGACTCACCTATCTGCCTCATCCAAAATCAGCCACTGCATCCGTCTGAAATGAATGTTCTTTGTGGATTTTATGTGATCCACCAGACGCCCAGGGGTTGAGATAAGGATATTTATTCCTTTGCGGAGCCTGTTTAAAATTATATATCATAAGAGAAAGTAAATCAAACAGAAAACACAGGAAAGACAAAGGAGGTAGACTGACTTCATGTATAGCACCAATGTGCCACAGCCGAAGTCACGGCCAAACACAGTGACAAGCAGACAGGAAGACAGAACGTGCCTATTAAGATCTAAAATCACATTCCAGTCATTAAACCTTTATTTTGAAGAGTCGTCAACAGGATCCAGTGCTGGGTATCTGACTCGTCGATGTCTGCTAACACACTCTGTGGATGGCATCCAGCCGGCTCTGGACCGTCAGTGACCAGGAACCCCCCAGCTGGGAAAGCTGCACTTCCTGTGCCAGTGAGCTCTAATTGCTAGAATGTTCTTTCTTATACTGAACCCTTAATTTCCATTAGAGGGGCTTAAGCTTTGCCCCATTGACCATGTAGAATAAATCTCATTTCTCACTCCCCAAACAACCCTTATATCCCATTATTCCATAAACATAATACAATTTTTAGCTCACTATGTTTTTAAGCTTTCCTTTCAATAAAGTATGGTATTATGCCATGTCCTTGCAATAGGATAAAAAGGCAGAGTGTGCAAGTCAAATAAGTACCTGTGGAGAGAGGAGTAATGATCTCCTGTTACTGATGACAAGGACTAGATATGATGGCTGGAGCTTCAGCTCCTGTCCTAGACTAAGAGGTTACCTTGGAAACGAAGGGCATACAAAACAAGGAAGGAGCCTGGGTTCTGACACTGGCGCACCAGGCCAGCCCTGGCCTGGTCCACCAGACTTGCTGCATGTGAAAGAGAAAACTCCTATATTGTCTGTGCTATCACTGTTTTTACTAACTATTTTCAGCTGCATCTAATCCTAATCAATACTTTTTTGGGTATTAAGTTTCACATTTACTCTTCAGTTAGAGACTACATACAGAGTTCAGTGTAACTACTAAAAGTGTTCAAAATACAGGTGCAATTTTGGATTTACCTGTTAACAATTTTCTACAGAAACCCACTACAAGTTCTAATACAGGATTAGGAATCAACGTGTGCAGGTGTAAAAGCATATTGCTAAGCACTGTGTAAACTTAAGATCTTGATTTTGTAAATCCAAACTAGGGAACCCTCCTCACCCCCACCCCCGCCGCCCCTCCCCCGGGCTGGGTCTATCCCAGCACTGGGAAGAGGAAGCACAGCTGGAAGCCAGTTCAGCAGGACCATGTCCTGCTACAGAAACAGGACAAACAGATGAACAACTAGCAAGCGCCCCTACCTGGCCTTTTCTGATTTTCTCTTCTCTCCACCCATCAATACTCCAGGTACAATCCAGGTGAATGGCTACAGATAACAGAATAGAATCAAAGCCCCATTTCCTGAAAACAGAGACTAAGTTGTATTCCCTAAGGAGGTCAGGGTTGGGGACACAGGCTCCTTGCGGTGTGGGGTGTCATGTGCACACAGGTCTTGGGATCATAGCTACGTAACTAGTTGCTGACGCCGGAGGACACTAATGTGAGCTTTCTAAATGATTCAAGCCCCCACCTGTCCCCATGGAGCCTGAAGAGAATACAAATTTGAGTAAGTCAATTTGTTCTGGCAGAGCTGGGGGTGCTAATATAAAACCCAAGTGATACCCTTCCCTACTTCCCACCTCTGATGAAGGACAGATCAATTCATGATGGACTCTGGGTGGGTCAGAGGCTCTGCCTCTGAAACCTCCTCCCTCTGCCTTCTTAAACAGACCCCACAGTGGCCTTGTATTGCTCTCCACTGGGTGGCCTGAGGGTTGCACCTGGGAGCCCCTGCACATGGCTTGCTGGTGGCTACTCTGAACAGGCTGTGGGACTGTAAGCTCCAGGAAACACTGGTAACTTAGCTAAGCTAGAAATCAATAGTTACGAAGGTTTCAATCGTAAAAACCTACAAAGTATATCTAGAGAAGCTGAGATATCCAGGGAGGAGAGAAACAAGAATAATTTCTGACCTCTTTGAAAATAAAGACTGAGGTATATTAATCTTTCCTCAACATGGCAGAAAAGAAGATAAGGCTGAAACTCAAGGCTTGTCTTACCTTAAGCAGCTTCTGGACAGTGTCAAAGCTTTGCAAGGCCAGCTGCAAATATTAAAAGTTATAGATCATGAGCACAGCATCCAGTTTTTTTTTTTTTTTTTTTTTTTTAAGATAATCTAAAATGATTAGGATCTGAGTGTGGACCTCAAGTTAAGACTCAGGGGAAAAAAAGTTCTTTACACAGAACCTACTCTGAAAACAGACCTGTCCCAGGCTGGCCTGGCAGCCTGCTGGTTTGGGGGTGAGGTAGAGAGTGCGGGGACTTCTCGGCCACGTGCAAACCTAGTTCTGTGCTCCCTCTGCTGGCCCGAGCTCCCAGAGCCACTGATGGAGCAGAAGGCAACACAGTCAGCCAGAGTCCCGCTCTCCTCAGAGAAAGGTGGTGTGTGGGAAGGGTCGACCAGGGTGGGGCTGCCACAGCCCCACGTTAGGGACTTCACCTGAGGTGACTGCTGTGTCCTAGAACTGGGCCAGGGAATCTGAAGACCCGGCGGGTAACCACCCCCAAATTCTCACACGAAACCAAACCAGCAGGCTCAGTAAAAAAAATGGGTGTAGACAGGCTCAGAATCCCACTACCCAAGGAGACACGCACATGCCTCCACTTCAGGATTCGTGAAGCAGCCAGCTCGATGTTGTAAATTTCGGTAGTCTCTGTGCCCGCTCTGTCCCCAGGCCAAGCCGATGAGCAGAGCACGAGGCTGCAGCTGTGAGAAAGGCCAATGGAAACTCCCTCCACCGCCAGGTCTCCGCAGGCAGCGGGGTCATTTGGTAGGAACCGGACACCTTAATCTGAAATTGCCTCTGTAAGCAGACACACCCACTATGTCACTATGTTCCACCAAAGAAGAAACTGCAGCCTGACTTCCAGGTGTAAGTGAGTTCTAGGAGCAACAGCTTCTTAAAAAAGGTTCATTCCAGAGCTGTTTTTGTTTTTTAATTAGTTGTTTATAAAAATGTTTCTTTTAATTCCTTTAAAAGAACAGAGATTTAATAATGCTGTTAGTTTTTAGACAATAGGAAATGCCTTCCCATGCCTATCTTCTGATTTTCTACAAGTACTTCAACTTTTCTTCTTGATAGGAACCAGAAGGATGGTCCCTGTGCAGGGGGTCAGGCATGCAGTGGTCAGCACAGTAGGAGAAAACCATAAAACCACCTTGTCAAGGAAACACCACATGACCGGCCACTCACCTCCCTCGTGGGCACCAGAACCAGAGCATAGGGGCCGTCACTGCGCTGTGGACAGGAAAGAGAGACCATGAGTAGGACCAACAAAGGCCAGCCTCCAGATGGCCTGCTGAGAGACACCAGAAGCACACTCACGGGAGAAAGGGACATGCATGTCCCCCAACCCCACTACCACAGGACACCATGCTAGCAGGCCATGCTCCTGGCCCATGCAATCGGATAAGACAAAGGAAGAGATGTGAAGCACCGGAAGGTGGAGGCAAAGTCACCATTATTAGCAGATGATGCTATCTCATCTTTGGAAAAAAAGGCCTTCAGTCAACTGAAAAATAACTGCAAACAAGGTATTTCAAGTCCAGCAGCTGAATGCAAAATTAGTGAATAAAAATCAATAGCTGTCTATTTCAGAGCACTAGAAAACACAATAAAGGGAAATTTCACACTTACCATGGCAACAAAAAAAGATGGAAAGAAAAAGCCTAAAAGTGTACAAGATCTACACAAAGAAAATTAAAAACACCACCAAGGGGCATAAAATAAAATCTGAATAAAGGTAAAGTTGTACCCCATTTTTGGATAGGAAGACTCAATATTATAACTAAATTAATTCTCTTTACACCAATCCATAAATGTGAAGTAATCCTAACGAGACACCTTAAAAATGTGTGTGCGTGTGTGTGCTCGCGCGAATGTATAATAAAATACATAGTAAGACAAGCTGATTTCAAGGTAAATACGGAAAAGTACACGTGTACAAATAACTGATGTCTATGAAGACATATCACATGTAAATTATAAGCCAAAGCAATTTAAAATATGATAGTGATATACAGAGATTGCAACAGCAAATAATCTAGAATAGAATCAAATACATATGGAAATTTAGAAAAATATACAAAGGCCATTTTATACCAATAAAGAAAAAATGGATTATTCAAAAGTCCTTTGGAAAAAAAAATAATCAAGTCAGAAAAACAAAACTGGCATTAAAGTTGGACTTTTACAGATGACATAAAATTCAGAAATCATAAAGAAAATTCTGGTAAATTTTACTACATAAAAATCTAAAACTTCAAAATGGAGAAATGTACCTAGGTAAAATAAAGAATCGAGTAACAGTCTAGGGAAAAATATGCTACAATGAAGAGAAGAGGCTAACTTCCTTAACTTTTACAGAAACTCTATAATTTTTTAGAAGGCCCATAATTCAATTAAAAGATCAATAACTCAAATAGAAAAACAAATAATTTATGAAAACTAAAATTCAAAATATGATTATTACATATATGTAGTCATATTGGGGGGGCATTTGACCACTGAGCCACATCCCCAGGCCTATTTTGTATTTTATTTACAGACAGGGTATGAGTTGCTTAGTGCCTCACCATTACTGAGGCTGGCTATGAACTCATGATCCTCCTGCCTCAGCCTCCCAAAACACTGGGATTATAGGTGTGAGCCACCACACCCGGCAATGTTCACCTTTATTCCTGAAAAAACTCAAATTCAAACTACGATATAATATTTTCCCCATCAAATGACTAAAACTAAAACAGCAGACAGTTTTGATGAGGATGTGGGCAAACATGAACCAATGTAGCCTGCTGGCAGGAGGGCAAGCTGGCAGAACACCTGGCAGCTCTGGCACTAGCTGCCACGCTGAAAGGCAAAGGCCACGCACAGGAATGGCTGCTGTGGACAGGCATGCGGGCGTAAAAAGCCACAGAATATTTTAGAGGCTGTAGGGTATGATAGCCTTGGCTATCATGCTCTACTGGACATAATGTCAAGTCCATCAACCAATGGCCTGGAATTTACGATGCGAATGTATAATGGAATACCAGGCAGCCAGTACAAAGGCAGCTCAATGTGGAACTGATAAGAAACCAAGCCCCAAACATGAACAAAAGCACAGCACAGAACTTCATGTGTAACAAGCAACCATTCGTGTATGGAATCAAACAAAAACGAAAAAGTTCACAGGGAAAGGGGAAGACATTTGCTTAATAAGCAAAGAATACTCCCGGGAAGGGACTCCAGAGCCTGGCAGGCCACATCATTCCTCCCCAGCCACACACTGCTCCTGGAGAGGGGAGCAGGACTTTTTACTCCATCTACTCTTGGTACTCTGAATTTTTTGTTTAGACACATTGTATCTAAATAATTATCCTAACATTCCCCAGGCCTTGGTCCCACCCAGAGAGGGCAGAGATGCTCAATGAGTCAGAGCAAACCCAGTGGCAAATTCAATCACCAGCAGGGCTTTTGTGTTTTGCACAGGAAACATTTACCTACAGGAGAGAAGGATTTAGAGCTCACACTTAAGTCATCTGCCCTAGGACCCTATGTGCCCATACTGCAGTGCCACTGTGAGGTCAGGGGCACTTCACAAAGCATTGCTCAGAGATGAGGCCAGCTCCTTGCAGGGCACAGTATGCAGAGCAGAATAGATGTGACACCACACAGCACAGCCACATGGTGCAAGCTCTGAGCAGCACCCTTAGTCCATCACCAGGCAGTTGATATCTGGAGTCCTGGGGCCCCCAGAGGTCACAGGCCAAATCATTTTATAATGAATGTCAAGAGACTCCACTGAATACTCCTGGAAATTAGCAAATTAAATTGGGGCTTGGAAACTTTTTCTATAAAACACTTCAGTCTTAATAGAAGGTCCTGCTGATGGCGGTAGAGTCTCTGAGCACAGAAAAGGGCTGATGCTCATTGTTCTGAACACGAGAGGCCAGGCCCCAGGGCTCAAGCCTCACAGGCACAGTTGGCCGAGACAGGCATCAACTGTGGCTCCTGGTAAACCAGGACAACACCGAGACACAGGGGGTTGGGCATGGAGTGGCAGCAGAGAGCACACCCAGCATGCACAAGGACCTGGGTTCAATCCCCAACACCAAAAAAAAGTACACCCAGACCTAGGATTGAAGCAGAGATGCCCACACCGTACACCTGACACATAGGCCATCTTGTCTTGCCCTCAATTCCCAGTCTGAGATGAGAGCTGGGTTAGAATTGCGGCTTCATTCCAACTCCCACGGTGCCCTAACTCTCAGGCTAGTGTGAAGCAAAGCCCCACTGGTAGGAGCTCCACAGTGTGTGAGTGAGCGTACCTCAGACAGGAGAGCCACATGAGTCCCCCCCTCCTCTGTGTGCCAAGGAAACGCTGGGCACATTGTGGGGACATGCCCTCTGTGAAGCACTCCATAGGCAAAGTCGTTGTCCCGGAGGAGACAGCCCTGGTTCCCCTGCCCAGAGTGTGGCTCAGCAGCCGGCTGCGCTTCAGCTGGTTATGCAGAGACACGGGCCGGCATCTCTAACACTCAGTTCCACGACGTGCTGCTTTGTAACCTGTGTTTCTTCCATTGAGCCAGACACTGCTCAAGTTCATGGCAGCAACTTAAGGAACATTACTTCCAGGGGCTACGTAGCATTCTATCACTGGGAATGACTGTGGCGGTTTCTTCTTTCAACCTTCTTTATATATGTTTAACCTACACATTTTGAAACAGCTTCAAACTTATTAAAAAAAATTGCAAAAATAGTACGAGGAATTCCCATAACTTCTCCCAGTTCCCCCACCATCAATATCAAAACCCCAGGATGATTACCGAAACCAGGAGGTTAACGCTGCATGCTGTCAACTACTCCACAGACCTTATTCAACGCCAACAACTGACCTATAAACGTCCTGTAACCCGGCTGGACTGCAACCCAGGACCACAGGTCTTCCGCTGTCCCACCTCCCCCATCTTTCCACCTGAGGCAGCTCTTTAGTATTTATTCTCATGACCTTCACCCTTTTGAAGACTACTGGCCAGTTATTTTGTAGGTTGTCCCTTAATTTGTCTGGTGATTCCCTGCAACTAAATCAGGTTATGTGTTTGTGGCAAACCCAGCAAAGAGCCTTGTCCTCAGGTGGCTCTGGAGGATGACACACCTGGTCACCTGGGCTTCCCGCTGTACAGTTCCGACTGCCTTCACCAAGATGTGCCTCATGGACACCCAAAGACCATGTGCTGCCCCCTCACTTCAGCCTCCATGCACCTCATGCCTGGACAGCCTTCCGTGGCCCTGCCAGACACAACACCACATGCACCCACGGGGTTCCCCTGTAAGGAAAGGCTTTCCGCCTCTCCCATTTACGTATTCACTCAATAATTTATAACCTCCTGATACCCGCCTGGGCACACGGTCACACACCTTAGTCCATGGAGCCCAGCGCAAGTCCACATTACTTCTCTTCTCACCTGAATATCAGGGAGGCCCGACGCCCTTCTGATTCTGCATGTCCAAGCCCAGAGAAAGCCACTGCTTGTTCTTTTCCTGTTCTGGGCACTCATTCCTATTTCTGGTCTCACGTTTCACCACTTCTGTCAACCGAGTGACTGGGGCTGCATCTGCGGTCCCCTGGGCTGGGATCGAGGAGAAAAGCCTCTGCCCATGGATCAGAGCAGTTAACTGGCCTCCACAGAAGCCCCACATTGGCCCTCTGGCCTCAGCACTAACTGTTTCACAGTTGAGGAGGAATTCTAGGCAACATGCAAACTGTGACAGCCCGACTGCACGCTGGCTGACTAGGCGCTCCTGTTCACACCTATAACCAACAAGCCGCCACTGTAAACACCAAGTGCAGCCTCTCTGGTCAAAAGTAACAAGGCACTGAACTCAGAATAAAGGCTGCAGCACGATTCCACATAATGACAACACTCGAGATCAGAGCACGGGTGGACAGCTGCAAATCAGGTCATTCTGAGGCATTTACTGAGTGATGGTCTTACAGAAGGTTGATGCTGGTTAAGTGGAAAGCACAGAAAGAGGCCCAGCGCTGAACTGTCCCATGAAGCCCTTGCAGGGCCACAGAGTGAGACCCTGGAGCCAAAGAGATGTGATGGGAATCTGGCTCCACCTCCCTGCTGCATGGCTTTGGCCATTTCACCTCCCTCAGCTTCTGTCTGTGGACTGGGCCAGCAGTAAAGGTGGCATGTGGTGGGCGCATGGCATCAAGAGGCTCGGAAGGTGAGGCATGCAAGGCACACACAGAAACCCTGGTACACTTATGAGGGCGACAGGGAAGGACGCTGCTCCACTCCACACTGGACAGTCTTTGGTCAGGACTTGGGTAATAAATGCAATGCATGTCACCCACAGCACTGTGGACGAGAACAGAGAAGCACATTCACACGCACCTGTATTTTTGACTTCATTGCTTGAAGGGACTGGACCATGGGGATACAATAGGCCAGAGTTTTACCTTTGAAAAGAGCACAAAAGCAGTTAAAGGGCAAACAGGCTCTGCTGTCCCTGGTAGCTGGGAGAAGGTCAAGTGCACATCAAGAGACCTCACCCATCTGCCATAATTCCTGATTCTATTTTGAAAGTTCGGTCCTCCTAAAAAGTCTGAAGCTTTGTCTCCTTTATCCACCCAGCAAGGGAGGTTAACGGCATTTCCCAAGTTACACAAATGCTCAACCTGATGGCCATCTGCAGAAGCTTGACCTTCCTCCTCTGGAGCCCCCTTAACCTCTCTGATGAGCCTCAAGGTCAATCAGGCCTCTGCAGTGCTGATGCGATCAGTGTGAGCCCTGGGAAACCCAGCAAGGCAGAAGTCCCAGCCCCTGCCCGGGGCTGCACTGGCAGGAGTGGAGAACAGCCGTCTGCAGCACTGAGGGCACACGAGGGGCAGAGGGGCAGTTCGCCCAGGCAGAGCTCTGCCCCAAGACCACAGCTGGCATCCAAGCAGCCTGTGCTCATGCCAGACTGCTTTAACAGCAGAAGAAGAGTCACAACCGACCAGTGAGGACGGGTGGCTCTGGCCACAGGTGGTGGGACTTAGCCCCAAGGAAATAACAAGAGAGCCAGCTACCGCCTTGTCACTGCTGACCACATCACCACCCACTGTCCCCTTCCCTTCATTCTGTCAGCAAATGCGGGGCTCTAATAAGACACAAGCATGGCCTCCTTCCTCCAAACAAGGAGAAACAGCTACCACTGCCAGACACAGAGCCCACCGCACGACCACGGTCTTGGGGCCATGGAGGAGTGCAGCTAGACATCACTGACCTGAGCCTGTCTGGGAGCGCACCAGGGCGTCTCTGCCTTCCAGCAACACAGGAATGCTCTGCTTCTGAACACTGGTATCACCCAAAAGAGAAGACATGTCTCTATCAGGTGTGCAGGCAAAGATGCAGGGGACAGCGGAGGAGCTGCCCCATACACTGAGCTGTCTACCCATGGTCCCCGAAGAAGTCACCTAACGTGCAAGGGAAGGAGCTGAGAGGCTGCTGATTATTAGGATAAGTCCCTAGTAAATTTGTTTGAATTTGGCTGAAAATGGTGAATCAAGTCAGAGATTGGCCATTGTTTTTAAAAAACTAGATGGCATGACAACAAATTAGAGTCACCACAGTAACAAGCCACATGCTCTCTTGCCTTCTATGGATTACAGACATGACAAAGGACAGTTCCATTCGGAAGAGCCAAGGGAAGTATGCGAGCTACCCAACCAGCAGCATGGTCCCCTCCCTAGGCATCTGTCAGACGCTGAAGGATGTGTCTGCAGTGCGTTTAAGGCCAGTTACAGAGGAGTCATTGAAATCTGGCTCACCAAACAAACAAAAAGGGACTGGGATGTGGCTCAGTGGTAAAGCGCTTGCTTAGCATGTGTGAGACCCTGAGTTCAATCCCCAGCACCACCCCCCAAAAAGAAAAGAAGAATCTGGTACTAAGAGGTCCTCATCCTCATTCTTCAATATTCTCATTTCGACTTATAGCAATAAAAAGTGACCACGACTAAAGTACAGAAGTACACGTGCTCTAAAGAGGCCGCTCTCCTCCCGCACCTCACCATGTAACAAAAACAAAAATTTTTCAGTTTCCCATGTTATCTAACCAAACACTTCTGTTTGACCCTGACCTTACTATTAAAAAATGAGGTGACCAAATTCTGTATTCAGGTCAAATCATTCTCAGGGAAGAACTGGCAACAGCAGATCTTCTTAAACAGACTCTCTTGAGGGTTAGAGTGGAAACAGAGGCTCTCCGTTTGCCACGTGGGAACCCGAACATCTGAGTGCGAGGCCAAGCCCTTAAGGGGCCCACAGCCTGGCTGTTCTTCAGTGCCAAGACTCACAACCCGCTCTGCCCTCCACAGATGACGGTTTTCTTCTGTCTTTTCCACTTAAGCCCTAAGAAAGTTAATAAGAGCCTAAACTCTTACCTGGTCATAGTGCATATTTTTAAGACAGTACTTATTGTAGAAACCTAAAAGAGAAGAGGAAAACAAATTTTTTTTTTTTTATACAAACATATTTAATGGAAATGACACACAAAACAGGAGAAAACACTAGGATGACACCAATTGCCAGGATCAAGTGAAGTTCCACCCACCCAGTGGTTCTCAACTGGGAGGCAATTCTGCTGCCCCCACACGTGACAATATTTGGAGAAATTTCTGGTTGCCACAGCTGGGAGAGGGTGCTACTGTTATTCCCCAGGATGCTGTTAAACATCTGAATGTGAGCAGCAAAGTCCCCACAACAAATCACCTAGCCCAAACTGCCCACGGTGGTGAGGGGAGACCCTGGTCTACACACCATGGGTGAGAAAATGACCCTCCATAAGCCACCTGAAGAAGGGCTGGGGGAGCTGGGCTTTCGTGGCACAGGAAACCAGGACACGCCTCCTCAGCCCAATCACAGTAAGCCTAGGAAACATGTTCATGGTACCAAAAAAGGGGGAAAGTGGTTTCTGTGTGTTAAAGACACCCTGAAACCTGTCTCTTCCACCTTCATCATCTGAAGCTGCACACCCCTTAACTACAAGAATGCTGCTTCCCACTCCTGGGGCCAATGTGACGTTTGCAATCACTAACGGCTTTACCACATTTACGCAGTAATTAGCAAGCTATTTCAAGTCCAGTAAGCGAAGCCCTGGCCTCAAAGTGCATCAGGTGGACAAAGTCTACAGGCCTTAAAATAAGAAAAAAAAAGATGGGGGTGGGGCAGGTAGGGCCAGGAGACAGAGAAGAGTAACCTCGGCGTAGCTCAACCACACCAGCAGCCAGTCCAGCAGTCCGAATGCACTCAGGTAACTAGGAGCAGAAGCAGACACTAAAAGACATGCAGGCACAAGACAGACATATGAGGCAGGAGAGTACTCACGAGATGTGGGTGCAGGCCCAGCTCCTGGAAGGTCTCTGGAGCAAATACCTGTTCTCGCACCTGATGTACCACAGGTCTGCAGGGGACGGACAAAGCCCAGGATCAGTGCCCATGCCAACCAGGAGAAAGGCAGACACAGGCCATTCCTCACGCCTGAGGTGCAGCCGCACCTGACCGTACCTGTAGAGTTCTGGGATGTCAGGGTTATTTTTGAACAGCGATGAAGTCTTGATGCATGGCTTATCCTCTTGCTTTCGATCTCCTGTGTTAGCCCAATTCTTCTTTGGAGACAATGTTTTTTGTGCATTGCCCCTAAAAGCCCTCCTAGTTTCTCCAACACCAGTTTTCTTGGCTGGGAGAAAGGATGTTTCTTTCTTCCGTTTTGCTGGGGGAGCCTCACTGGACGCTTGGTCTTTTCTCTTGGTAGCCTTTGCTTGCTGTTATTCCCCAAAGGAAAGATCAAGAGGTGCATTAGTCCATGAAGACAGAGAGCAGAGTGAAGCCTGACTGCCCTTGGAATTGCAGCTCTTCCTGCAGGGATCATTACGCCCCATATGCCAAGCCACAGTTTAGGGTTTGCAACCAGATTCTTTCACCACTTTTTCCAAAATGGAAAAAAAGAAGAAAAAAAAAGTCTCAGCTCATTCATCTGCATGGCCTCACTGTCTATCTTGATCCTTAAACCACCTCAAGGAGGGTGAGGATCAGGGAGGAAGACGTGCCTCCTGAAATGATGTTCACCAATTAAGACTGTTCACAGGTAAGTGAGAACCACCTGGTGCAGTGTGCCAGCTACTGCCCACACCCCTAGAGATGCCCCTGAACGGCAGGAGCAGAGGGGCAGGAAAGTGAACCTCTCCATCAACAGAGCACCTCAAGCCTCGACACGGGAGGAAGCACAATGCTGCAGCCCAGCTTACGTACCCAGGAAGCGGGAACCTTCATTACTGCTCTACCCAGCTCTTGGCTCTGTCATCTTCTCCCCTCAAGCTGCTCCTCCAGATTCAGATGGTCTGGAGACAGCGCCACTTGCCGTTGCCATTCCAAATGAGAGACTGCTCCATCCGTCACTTGGATCACTATCGGTTCCAACCCAGTTCCATCCCTCCCTGCCTGATAGGAGACTATAAGAGTACAGGCTAGCCACCGCTAGGTGTTTCCAGCCTGTTGCTTATTTCCATAACAGGAATGAGATTAAATGCACAAAGGGGAAGTTTCCCTAGGAAGAGAAACATCCAATTCCTCTATTGTCTTTCACTTTCCCCCCCAACTTACTCAAGAATGTAAGAGCACCTCTTGAGTAGCCAGTGTTTTGTTATTCTTGAGTTTTGGAATAGGTTATTTTCCTCTTGCCTGAAATAATGGCTTGTGTGTGCACACTGACTGGCATCAGCCTTGACTGTAACTTCAGGCTAACCTACTAATACAAACCACAGTTATTTTTCTTGAACAATCATAGGATTTCTTTACTTTAAAAAATTCTATAGATATAATTTCAAATATGTAATACTAATAACGTATGTGCTGAAGTTGCTTCACTTTGTAAATTTATTTTTTTACAAAGCCTCAAGTTTATGAACTTCAGGATTAAAGAAAGGGGTGAAATCAAGTTTCAGGCCTGTTGAATCATCTGCAAGGTACTATGAAATTTGCTGACTTCATCTGATTTACACTGTCTGAGAGGGGCATCAAAGGCCTGAAGGCCTCTCCTACTATGTCTGGGACTCCTAATCACACCTTCCCTAGCAGAAGGCTTTGCAGCCTCTGCCCACACACCCCCTACAGCACAGGAGGCAGCCTATTCTGCTCCTGACCAATCCAAGGATTAGGAAACTCTTTGGGCCCTCAGGAAAGATCTGCCTCTTTGAGCATCCACAAGCTGAGGATGTGCTCTGAGACACACAGGGCTCCTGTGCTCCATTCCTCAAGCAGAGTGGCTTTCCATGACTTACAACTCCCTCCTCCCTCTTTGAACTAAATATTCCCAGTAATATCTAAGCTTTAGAAACCTTATCACCCTGATCACGCTTCATTAACCCATCAACATCTAAAAGCAAGCACAATCATAGGTTTTTCCACTGCTCTGAGGCTAAAAGTGAAAATCTGCAGTGAGATCCACACAGCCTCCAGAACATGGCCTCAGCCAACGTCAGTAGCTTCAGCCTCACCCTCTGCCATCCTGGCTTTCTTGATTCCCAGGACATGCCATGCTTCTTCCCTCCTCTAGGCCCAGCACCTGCTATTCCCACCAGGGGGACTCCAACCTGCCTTCTGGCTGGCTACAGTGCTCACCTGCCCTACCTTGGGAAGCACCTTTCCTGCCCCCCTGTGCTCCATTGGGCAAAAGTTCCAGGATCCTGGCTCTCCAGCACCCTGACTCTCCTTTGTGGTGCTCAGCACAATAACAAGCAAAGCACCTTGTCTGGTGCCTGCCTGCCTGCCTACTAGGCTGCAAACTTCCTAGGGAAAGGTCCAGCTTGTCCTGCACAACACTGCCAGCCCTGCATGGCCCATGCCTGGCACAAAGTCAGCACTCGACAAACACCTGTGAGGCAATTGTGTGACTGACACGAGATGGAGTATGCCCTTCACATATCTGGACACTGCTGCCATTGCTAGCTCTTCTCCCCAGCGACCATAACACTCATTAGTTGTCAATTATCTTGATTCTGAACATACAAAGTTCCAAGATTAGCCAAGACCCTGAGGAAGTCACAGACAAGTGGAAGATAAGTGTCAAACCATAAATTCAAATCCATGGTTACTATAACAGAGGACACTAACAAGGCCTATGGCAAAGGGAGGGAGGAAAGAAATCAGGGACTCATTCTGAGGTGGCGTTTGAGCAGAGGGAACAGGGGCATAACAGATCTACTAAAATTAGCCGTGCAACATTAAACTACTTCCCTGAGTCTGTTCCTGTGCCTGTGAAAGGCAGGAACTATGGGAGGTGATCTATAGGGCCTGCCTAGCCCTGTGAGCATGCGGTACCATGTCCTTGGTATTAATAAACACACCGAGTAGTCACTATATGCCAGGCAGTACATGATGCACTCACGTGAATTATTATTTATTAATACAGGCAATAGTATCACCTTATTTTAAGTTGAGAACACTCAGAGAGTGAGGTAATTTGTCAGGATCACTGAGGGAACCAGGCTTTGTGCCAGCATTATGATTCTACATATTGATGAAATGCTATAATGGGACTTATTGAACTGAACCCTGCTTGGCCATAAAACATGTAATTTCATTTCTAGAAGGATATATACCGAAATGTTAAAAGTTATCTCTCCGAGTTTGGGAATTATGAGTGCAGTTTTATCTTCTTTCTGAGCTTCCTAAAATGAACTTGTATCAATTTAATAATCAGAAAGCAATTGGAAAGAAAATATCCCATGCAGTGTTAGGCATGGCAACATAACTTGAGCCTTTAAGATGCTTGCAAATCCGGCATATAGGCTACCCACCAGCAGACTTGGTCAGCAGGTGGATCACTCCCATTGGAGACACACATCAAAATGCAGATGCAGACCCTGCCACTGCTGATACCTGTCCCTGCTTCTCAGTTAATCCCATTTGAAACAGTGATTAAAGCAATCAAAAAACTAGATACTGTTTAGTCAATTCACTCTAAGTTTCCGGGCTTGGTCTACATTAGTTCTTCCTTTGTATTAGTAAATGCTTTCTATGTATCAGTTACTAGGCTTGTATGTGATACAAGCAAACCTACTGACTTCCTTGTGTAGCAATCTATTATCCAAAATGGTGCCAATACGATTTTTTTTAGCACTGGCACTTGGTAGGTGCCCCTGTGGGTCAATACGTAGAGTCTCACAGCTCTTCTCTATACTCCTCCTCCTCAGCTGTACCAGTGGCTAGCTGAAGACTGCGTGCTCCCAATCATCTAAATCTTAAAAGTTTGTTGTTACACACTCAAGAAAAGGGAAGAATAAAATATCACCAAATAGAACCCAGAGGAGGGGTGTTAGCTGGTGCGAGTCTGTTCACAAGCGGTGAAGAACTTCGTCCTCGACACTGCTGGGCTGAACCCACTCTCGCAACTGACTTTTCAATGGAATCACGTATTGCTTTGTAGGAACAACCCCCCAAAACCCAACAAACAAACAAACAAAAAAAACAAAGCCCCAAACCCGCCGAGTCCCTCCTACTCTTCTGCAATCGGAGACCGCACGAGCCTCCGCCCCGCGGTGCTCCTTCCCGGGGGCCACAGCGGCCGCCGTCAGCTCCGGCCGCTGAGCTCAGGCGCCGCCCGCAGCCAGCCCGCCGCGGTCCCCGCGCCCCCCGCACTCACCATCCGAGCCCTCCCGGCGGCCTCCATGGCGGGCGCGCAACACGTGGGCGGCCGGGCCGCCACCGCCCCTTCCGGGTCCGGGCCCCGAGCACGCGGCGGCGCAGGGGCCGAGCGCGGCCGGGGAGCGACGGGGACGCTCGGGGTGCCGCCGCGCTCCGAGCCCGCGGCCCCGACGCAGCTCGCGTGGCCAGCCCGCAGCGAGGCCCCCGAGGGCCCGGCCGGCCGCCGGCAGCGGGAGGCTCGAGGCGGCCGCAAGCTCGCGCGGTTTCTAGACAGGCAGTGTCGTGGCCGCCCGGCAGGGCTGGTCGCCTGGCAACGCGGGGTCCTTCCTGGCTCGGCGGCGCTCGCGGCCTGAGCGGAGGAGGCCTCCGCGGAGGGCGCTGGGGGCGGTGGCCGCGCGGCGGGGGCGGCCGCGGGGCGGCGACGCGGGCTGCGCGCGCCGGGAGCCGACCTCTGCGCGGAGGGGACATGAACGCGGCCGACAAGGCCCGGCTGGGGCCCGCGGTCGACGGGGCCGCCCCGCCCGAGGACGAGGAGGGCGAGGGGGGCGGGAAGGACCCGGCGACGGACGCAGCCCCTGGGCCCAGCGCCTCGTTCCGCCTCATGGTGACTCGGCGGGAACCGGCCGTGAAGCTGCAGTACGCGGTGAGCGGCCTGGAGCCTCTGGCCTGGTCGGAGGACCACCGCGTGTCGGTGTCCACGGCCCGCAGCATCGCCGTGCTGGAGCTCATCTGCGACGTGCACAACCCGGGCCAGGACCTGGTGATCCACCGCACCTCGGTGCCCGCCCCTCTCAACAGCTGCCTGCTCAAAGTAAGTGCGCCCGGCGGGGTCGCCGCGCGTCCCGAGCGCGCGGGGGGCGCCTCTCGCACGGCCTCGCAGGCCGAGGGTGAGGGTCGCCGCCGCTTGGGAGAACTCGAGCTAGCCCGCGGCTGCTGGCGCCGTGGCAGGATCACCCCGGGCTTGGGCCCCCGCCGGGTCCCGTGGCCCTGGCTTCGCCCCTGCTTCTGGCGGGCTGCTGGCGCTGATTGCCCTCCACCGTGCTCCTGAGACTCCACCCCCTGTTGACCCAACCCCGGACCTGCCCCTAGCTTTGCTCCTATTGTCTGGGCCCGGCTCCCCGAGGCCCTGGGCTGGCTTTGTTTACTGTGTCGCGTCCTCTCGCGCCGCTTTTGCTTTGGAGAAGAAAAACTGGTCCTTTCCATTGTATTACCGGTTCAGCGGTTTTGCTGTGAATGATCCTTATGTCACACCTGGGGCCCAAAGGTAAATACTGGTTCTCGGGGTTTATACTCTAGTTTTTCTTTACTAGCTGAAAATCTTCGGGATGTGCACTGCAAAAGCCTCTGGAAACAGATGCAGTGCTTTAACTTTCAAGTCCAAGGTCTCTGTATAAACTTGGTACTTTCAGCTTCTTAAAACCTAAGTTCACCTCAACTTAAGTAGAGTTTCTAAAGTTTTGTTGTTTTTTGTTGTTGTTGTTTGTTTTGTTTTGTTTTTTTAATATTTTTATTTTTTTTAGTTTTCGGCGGACACAACATCTTTGTTTGTATGTGGTGCTGAGGATCGAACCCGGGCCGCACGCATGCCAGGCGAGCATGCTACCGCTTGAGCCACATCCCCAGCCCCAAGTTTTGTGGTTTAATCAGGTTTTTAATAGTAAGACTTTTACTTTGTTCATTTTAGTGCCTTAGAAATATGAAGACTTAAAACATGAATGATGTGACTCTACTTTGTGTACAACCAGAGACATGAAAAATTGTGCTTTGTTTGTATAATATGAATTGAATTGCATTCTGCTGTCAGATATAATAAATCAGAATAAATTAAAAAAAGAAATATGAAAACTTTCCTTGTCCCTTTACAGATTTGTGTGTTCTTAAGTACAGTAAGCGTCCTGTCAAAGTGTATTATATAGTTATTCACCACTGATTGAGTAAGTGCCTGCCCTCATGGAGCTGAGATTCTTTGGCTGGTTATGAACAAATAATAATGCAGTAACAGGTAGTGATACCCACCATAAAGATCACGTCTACAGACAGAGATGGGATAATTGGAAAGTAAAGTTTTACTGAACTCTGGACAGCCATTCTGAATCTGAGTCACTCACTGTAGGTAGAGTGTCAGCAGCCTTTATTGCTTTTTAGCAAACTTAATTCACGTTTCAAACACAACCTGAGTGTGAATGTGAAGATATCCTTAAATCCTTGGGATATTTTAAATTTGACTCATCTTGCCACATTGGACATTTGCCACCACTATTTAAATAGTACCAGGAAATCCTTCTTTAGCCCTCTCATGATTTGATAGAGAGCTGACATGAAGAGGCCTCATGGGATAAAACTGGCGTAATGGTAAGGATGTAACCGTCCATCAGCACTTTGATGGCTCAACCCATTGATGATCCCTGCAGACTTAAATATACTCAGTGTTGTCCAACTTTGCTTTTTTTCTGACCCAAATGACAGGCAGTCTGCAACCTGGATCACAGTTACAGTGTTTAGCACTCCTACACTCAGACACATGCTGAGCCCTTTTTAGGCTTTTGCTGATTCTGTTATTTAGATTATGAATTTCTTTTAGGAAAATCTGCAGATATTTAACAGTTCAAACATTTATGACCAGCCTATTTCTAAGTTATTTTCTTGGGTGCTGACATTTTAAGAAACCTATAATTTTCAGTGGCTCAGGAGGTTGAAGCAGTAGGATCACAAGTTCAAAGCCAGCCTCTGCAACTTAGTGAGGTCCTAAGGCAACTTAAGGAGATTCTATCTCAAAATAAAAAGGTCTGGGGTTGTAGCTCATAGTTAGTGTTCCTGGGTTAAATCCCTGGTACAAACAAATAAAATCCTATTATTTAGAGGACCTTCCAATGCTTCCTGTCAAATAATGGAAACTGGGTCATCCCAAGGTTCCTATGGATACCCAGCCTGAGGTCATCCCCACACACCTTCCCATACCCACCTCTCACCAAGTTACCTATGAAGAAGAGTCAGGAACCCCCAGAATACATCTCTTACTCTGAAGATGGCCCACATTCTCCTTTGAATGTGTACTCCTTGCTTTACTAAGTAAATCTCTATGCCTCTACAGACACATGTTGAAATTTTTGTCACCTTCATTAAGGACTCCACTTGTCCTGAGTTGAGGCCCCCTTCTCCAAAAACTCCTCGAGATCCTTCTCCAGTGACATCTCTTCCCTAGTGACAGCACCACTTTGTATGTACCCTACATTTTACATACTTCTATTAGGTCTCATTAACAGTCACTTAATCCTCAGAGAATACTAATAATAATCATCACAGACAATGTTTATCAAACACTAATGTGTATTACATATTTTGATTTAGTTAAATTTCTGAGACATGTATTATTATTTTGTAAATGAGAAAATTAAGACCAGAAGGTTTAAGCAATTTGCACACAGTCATGGAACTGGAGTATAATGGAACAAGCATTTGAACATGAAGTATGGGATCATGGTTCAGATTTCATTCGATGCTGTGCTTTGTTATGGTGTGTTTCATTGTATCTACCCATGTAGCCACCTACAGCTCATTTCATTGGGATTTCTAGTCTGTCGCTGTCCGTGGGTCTATATCGTGTCCAAGAAATTATCTTAAATATGTTTCTAAAATCAAGATGCGCTGCCTAAAACACTGTTTCCAGAGTGTTCTTTAGGATGGCAACTCCCCCAAAAGGTCCTACTTTAAATTTTTATTTTTTATTTTTGGCTAACTCTAGTTAAACAAGTCTGTACTTTGAAAGTCTGTGACTTTCAAAGGAGGAATGATATGTAATGTTTTGTATTTCCAAAGCTATTTGGACATAGAACTGTTTTCAAGAAGCAGTTTACGGGGGTAGTGTTCTGTGAATCACTTTAGGAAAAGTTAGCCAACTAATTCATTAGGTGGGCAGCTTTTATCTGGCAGTGTTAGCAGGAAGGAGAAAAAGACTCGTCCAGGTATCTCTTGCTAGTTTCTAATGATTGCTGCTGCATCATGCACTCACTGTTCATTTGTTAATATGCTGACAAATTTTATTCCTAATCAGGCTTATTAGCATGCCTGTGTTCATCATTTGGGGAATCTTCTTAGACTATTGTTGCACTCTGGTTTTCTGACAGGTCTCCAGTTGTCTAAGCTTTACCCAGAATGCAGCTTGTAGTTCTGAGTTAATGTTTTCCAAGTTCTTTTTGTGTTCCAGAGTGTAATTCTTCTGTGCTTGGGGACTTACTTAAAGTGGCTTTTATTATATTCATATATGTCTGAGACTTGAACTCTTTTAGTCCTGTTTTGCCCTTTCAAGTTTGAAGATCAGTCTCTATTAATAAGGAGATTGACACTAAAGAATTGCAAGATGCTACTTTCTTTCTCTCTCCATTTCTCTTAAGAAGTCCTTATGCTTCCAGCATAACAAACCATCTTTTGGTTCACTTCTGCTTTTTCTGGCTATTTCATGGCTCCAAATCACTTTTTTATAGTTTTTGTTTTGTCATTTACCTCTTCCTCCACGTTTAATATCCCCTTAAAAGTCTTTATAAAGAACTTGCCATCATACTGGTAGGCGTTGTTAGTGTGTTATGTATGGACCTAGAGAAGGGAGAGGTGAATGATAGCTAGAATGATCTCGGAAGGCCTCCTAGAATCAGGCCTGGTGGGATTTGGATAGGGGACGGACTAGGCAAGGGGTCAAAGTGAAGCAGTGGAGGGAATGTTCAAGAACTAGAGGCAGAGTAGTCTGATTGGGGCCATCTTACTGTATAGCATGAGAGCAGTTGGTGCCAGCCCTCAGGGTAGTTCGCAAATTAGGGTTTGTATTGTAAGGGTATTATAAAAATTCTAGTATCTAATTGTATCAAAGATGAATATGGATACATATTTTATAAGTTTTTAGCACCTGTACTGTTCTGTGACAAGCTCAGCTGAGTACTCCATTCTCTCTTAAGAATCAGCTACATTTTGTTGCTTTTGTCAAGAAGCATATGGGAACCAGTCTGTGAATAATGACATTTATTCTGGCCCTTAAAAAACAATTACTGTGGGGCTGAGATCATGGCTCAGTGGTAGAGTGCTTGAGGCACTGGGTTTGATCCTCAGTACCGCATATAAATAAATTAATAAAATAAAGGTCCATCTACAAGTAAAAAAAATTAAAATTAAAAAAATTACTGTGAGGCTGGGGTTGTGACTCAGTGGTAGAGCGCTTACCTAGCACATGGGAGGTGCTGGGTTCAATTCTCAGTACTACAAAAAAAAATGAATGAATTAAAGGTATTGTGTCCGGGGCTCACCTGGTAGCACGCTCACCTGGCATGCGCGGGGTGCTGGGTTCGATCCTCAGCACCACATAAAAATAAAATAAAGATGTTGTGTCCACTGAAAACTAAAACTAAATATTAAAAAAAAAAAATAAAAAATGTGTTGTATCCAACTACGACTAAAAAATAAAAAATAATTGCTATTTCTTTATGTAAATACTCAGTCTTTGGACATGATCTTTTAAATGTGTTTAATGCCAAAATTAATGGACTTGACATCAAATTATTATGTATGTTATCATAAATACTCAGTTAATACAAGTGAACATTTATCTGATAGTTTCTGTTTCTCTTATTTTCAGGTTGGCTCAAAATCAGAAGTTGCTGAGTGCAAGGAGAAATTTGCCAGCTCTAAAGACCCCACCATCAGCCAGACTTTCATGTTGGATAGGGTGTTCAACCCTGAGGGGAAGGCCTTGCCACCAATGAGAGGGTTCAAATACACCAGCTGGTCTCCCATGGGTTGTGATGCAAATGGCAGGTGCCTCTTGGCAGCGCTGACCATGGACAATCGCCTGACTGTCCAGGTGAACCTCAACAGACTCCAGTGGGTCCAGCTGGTTGATCTGACTGAGATTTACGGAGAGCGTCTCTATGAGACCAGTTACAGGCTCTCTAAAAATGAGGCTCCAGAGGGAAATCTCGGGGATTTTGCTGAATTTCAGAGGAGGCACAGCATGCAGACCCCAGTCAGAATGGAGTGGTCGGGCATCTGCACCACTCAGCAGGTCAAGCACAACAATGAGTGCCGGGACGTGGGCAGCGTGCTCCTGGCTGTCCTCTTTGAGAATGGTAACATTGCCGTGTGGCAATTTCAGCTGCCCTTTGTAGGAAAGGAGTCCATCTCCTCATGCAACACGATTGAGTCTGGAATCAGCTCCCCTAGTGTTTTATTCTGGTGGGAATATGAGCACAATAATCGGAAAATGAGTGGCCTTATTGTGGGGAGTGCTTTTGGACCCGTAAAAATTCTCCCTGTCAATCTCAAAGCAGTCAAGGGCTATTTCACCTTGAGGCAGCCTGTTGTCTTGTGGAAAGAAATGGACCAGTTGCCTGTGCACAGCATTAAGTGTGTGCCGCTTTATCACCCCTACCAGAAGTGCAGCTGCAGCCTGGTGGTGGCTGCAAGAGGGTCCTACGTGTTTTGGTGTCTTCTTTTGATCTCCAAGGCAGGTCTGAATGTTCACAATTCCCACGTCACAGGCCTTCACTCCCTGCCCATTGTCTCCATGACTGCAGACAAACAGAACGGAACCGTGTACACTTGTTCCAGCGATGGGAAGGTGAGGCAGTTGATTCCCATCTTCACAGATGTCGCATTAAAGTTCGAGCACCAGTTAATTAAACTCTCAGATGTGTTTGGCTCAGTGAGGACTCATGGGATAGCAGTGAGCCCGTGTGGTGCGTATCTGGCCATCATCACAACTGAGGGCATGGTCAACGGCCTTCATCCTGTCAACAAAAATTATCAGGTCCAGTTCGTTACTCTCAAAACCTTTGAGGAGGCAGCTGCTCAGCTCCTGGAGTCTTCAGTGCAGAACCTCTTTAAGCAGGTAGATTTAATAGACCTAGTACGCTGGAAAATTTTAAAAGATAAACATATCCCTCAGTTTTTACATGAAGCTTTGGAAAAAAAGATCGAAAGCAGTGGAGTCACCTATTTTTGGCGTTTTAAGCTTTTTCTCCTGAGGATTTTATACCAGTCAATGCAGAAAACTCCTTCAGAAGCCTTATGGAAACCTGCCCATGAAGACTCAAAAATCTTGATCGTTGACTCTCCTGGGATGGGCAATGCAGAGGATGAGCAGCAAGAAGAGGGCACCTCTTCCAGGCAGGTGACTAAGCCAGGCCTGCAGGAGAGGAGCAGAGAGGGCGAAGCAGAGGAGCCCACAGACGACTCACTGCCCCCATCGGGAGACGGTGGAGGCCACGAGGCAGTGGAGGAGAAGCTCCTTGAGATCCAAGGGAAGATCGAGGCTGTGGAGATGCACCTGACCAGGGAGCACATGAAGCGCGTCCTGGGGGAAGTGTACCTGCACACCTGGATCACTGAGAACACCAGCATCCCCACCAGAGGGCTCTGCAACTTTCTAATGTCTGACGAAGAGTACGAGGACAGAACGGCTCGGGTAGGTGTTTCCCAAAACTGTCACGTCTGCTCCCTTTCTGAGAGACACGTGGCAGATTGGGTCGCTAGAGCTAAGCTTTCATGTTGGCACTTTGTAGGTAATTGATTGGCATGAGGTTAGGGAAACAAAGAGGAAATAGGGGTTAAATGCAAGGACACTTTCTTAGTACACAAAGAATGTTGGGTTCTTCCTTATGGTGGCCTGGGCTGGGGCTCAGGGCTTGCCAGAGGAGCTTTCCAGGCTGTGGATGAGCTTGGGGAGGCTGCGTGAACAGAGAGCAGTGTGGTGGAGGTTCCATGCCTTGCTCCCTGCCCATCCTGTTTTACACAAGTTCTAGGTAGGGGGCACATTTTTGGTTTTAAAGGACTCAAAGAGGCCTTCTGGTTTTGCCAAAACACACAAAGGAAACATATATATTTTGTTTTTACAAAAAACTGAGTATTATCTTTTTCTTGGCACTGGAACGGTCTTTAGTGTTACATAAAACATGTTCTGTGGCATTTGGGGTCCCTGAGAGAACACCAGGATCCCAAGCCTGGGGACACTGCATACTCTCTGTTCCTCTTAAGGGACCCTGTGCAGGTAGCCATTCTGAGGGTTCTGAAAACTCCCTACAGAAGAGAAATGTGCCTTTGTCACCCAGATGTCTCTGCCAGGGAAGCATCCTAGCAGCTAGCATCTGCTGAGATACCAAGAACGCAGCTCCGAGGAGCATGCTGTGTGCACAGGTGTTCAGAACCACAGCCTGGCCTTTTGCTCTGAAGACTAGCTCTGTTCTCACTGCCTCAAGTCTCATTTAACAAGTATTATTTGAAAACAGAAAATTCAAGTGTCTTCATCCTTAATGTTAAATCATTCAGAAATCACTCATTACATTTTCTTGCTGGCAGTGACACTGTCCTTCCTGAAATGACTGCCAAGATGTCTGCAGCGACCCTCAGAGTGGCCAAGGTGCGCTGGTCATGTAACTGACTTTTCTACTTTAAAAGTCAGCTTTTAAGCAGTGTTTCCTTATGTTTCAATTGCCTGGGAAAGTGTTCTGGTTGTCATCATGTCATGGGACTGACTCGAGGGTCATTGAGATGGCAAAAGCATTGTGGAGAATGAGTAATGAAGTTTGTTCTTATTAGTTTATAATTCTGGTTTAGATGCTGTGTGGACTTGGGAAGCTGTGTCTAGCTGTTGGTTCCAGCAAAGCCAGTCTGAAAAATGGAAAGATTATACCTACCTGGCTATACCAACTGCATTCTGACTGCAGACAGTGCACTCTGCGTCTTAAAATCTTAACTGTGTACTTCAATTGAGGGCCTTTTTAGTTGAAGGTCTGGGCTGGGCTGTAGCTCAATGCCTGAGTGTTTACACCATGGACCAGGAAGAAAATCCTCCCTCCTGGGATGTTGTTCTTACCAGTGGTCATGAACCACCTCTGAGATTCCTGCCTGGCAGACTGTGCTTCTCAACCTTTCGTTTATTATCACCTTCCCCTGGAGTGTTCTTTTTTTCCCAGTTATTCCTGCCCATGAAATGTTAATACGACAGATATGTTGTTTGTTTACATGCTATATATATATATATGCGCACTTGAATACTTAAGATTAAGGCTGGGCATGGTGACACACATCTGTAATCCCAGCGGCTCAGGAGACTGAGGCAGGAGAATTGTAGGTTCAAAGCCAGCTCAGCAATTTAGTGAAGCTGTAAGCAATTTAATGAGATCCTGTCTCAAAATAAAAAAAATTAAAAGGCTGGGGATGTGGTTCAGTGGTTAAGTGCCTGGGTTCATCCCTGGTAACAAAACAAAAAAAAAAAAAAAAAATTTTTTTTTTTTTTTAAGGATATTTTGTCCCCCAAGAACCAATATTTGTCTTTCATGAAGAACTATGAGCCCCATTGAGAGTGAGTCAGATGAAATAGTTGGGCTTTGTGATGGAAGCCACGGAGAGCACCCCACAGTAGTCTTAGGTGCATCTACACTACAGGAACTCTGGGCTGGCTTGGCATGTCTATGACTGGTCCTAAGTTAGATCCTTTTTGGTTTTTTGGTAGTTCTGGGGACTGAACCCGGGCCTCTTACATGCTATGCAAGCAGTTTGCTACTGAGCTACTTTGAAATTTAAGTGAACTAATTTTAGTGAGTTAATCCAAAATCTTACAGATTCTTCACAAGAAGTATAAATGGATTCAAAATTTGGAAAGGCACTATGCTAGTTAGAAAAGGTGGTTCTAAAGGATTGGCACGTCCTGTGCTTCCCAATGAGATACAAGAGAGGTTTTGTTTCATTTTTTTCCCAGTAAAATGATGGCTGGGCCGTGGTACATGCCTGTAATCCCAGCTAAGGGCAGGAGGACTCCAGGTTCCAGGCCAGCCTAAGCGACTTAGTGAGATCCTGTCTCAAAATAAAAGAGCTGGGGATTATGGCTCAGGGGTGGAGTGCTTCCCTGACATGTGCAAGGCCTGGGTTTAACCCCCAACACCCCAAAAAGGGAAGGAAAGAAGAAAATAATGAAGTGGATTTGTGTTTTTCAGATTTTGTTTTGAAGAGTGTGATCTTAACAGTAGAGGGAAGCAAAGCTAGAGGAGGGCAAGGCCTAGGGTGCCGCCGCCCGCCCCCCCATCTCACTCTGCTTCCTGCCCTCCCAAGGCGCGTCTTGCCAGGCCTCTGCAGCGGGTGTCTGGACCTCAGAGGCAGGCTGCCTGACTGGCTCAGCCGTGGGTCTTGGGCCATCAGAAGGAAAATTATTTTTTAATCCTGACTCTTGTACTCGTAAGCCTTTCTCAAAGGCTAAATGTTTGTAGAGTTCTATAAAGTTGGCAATATCACTCAATATTTTGTATGGAGGTTACTGTCAAAACATTATTAATAACAGCTAAATCCTTGCTTCAGACAGGAGCAACTAAAGCAAGGCAAGTAGTGTGAGTTTGGTCCTCACAGTTTTTCCCGTAATGGTCCTGGTTCATCCTGTGGTCACAAGGTACCTGAATGTGTTTGTTTTATTCAGTCAGTTGACATGTCCAAGGTCCAGCTTTCCTGTCTGACAGCAAGCCTGGCTAGTGTGGAAGTGAAGGATTCCATTCAGCCCTGAGTGGCTGTCTCCTCATAGCAGGTTTTGCTTCAGGACACCTGCAACCACTGCTGACCGCTGACCACTTTGTCTCGCTAGGTGCTGATCGGACACATCTCAAAGAAGATGAACAAACAGACTTTCCCTGAACACTGCAGCTTGTGTAAAGAGATCTTGCCGTTCACAGATCGCAAGCAGGCCGTCTGCTCTAATGGGCACATCTGGCTCCGGTAAGCCGGTATCTCACCCCTGCTCTTGCTCATTTCTCAGTGTTGTGTAGCATGAGCCACTGTGGCCAAGAATAGGTGACCTCATTATGTGTCGCCCACCACTACATTAGAGGAGATCTGCAGTCTGAAGCCTGGTGTGGACTCCTCCTCAGTCTGACTGGAGCAGGACCTTGAAGGACAGACTTGCTGCCTGGTTTATAGAAGTTTCCAGTTTGCTTTGGTTGTACTGTTTTCCTTTAAAGTAGTGAGAAGTTCCTAAATCATTATTACAAAATATTGTCTGTTGAATGGATGAGTTTATGTGTGCTCCTGGACACATTTTTTGTTTGTTGAATTTATAGTGAAAGGTAGAAGCCTTTCTCCTCCCATCCTCATAGTCTATACCAACTGTGAGCCTCTTGGACAGTCCTTGCTTCCTCACCTGGCTCTCCCCTGCTCTTCTCCTCCTCCCCTCCATGTGGGTCTGGGGCCTGTCCTCCTCTCAGCCTCCTGGAGGCCTGCACCCCCGCCATGACTGGGGAGCTCATGTCTCTGGCCTCCCTTTGGACCTGGGACCTCACTGCTGCTCGGCCTCTCGGGGGTGTTGCAAGCGCTTCACACGGCCCAGCCTCGTCTCACTGCTCCGTCTCTGCCCTGTCTCTGGCCCACAGATCGTAGCTGTCTCCCCTGGTCTTGCCGCCTGCCTCCCTGCCTCGACAGTCTTCTCAGCCTAGTTGTCACCGTGATCCTGTCCAGACATGGTCAGCTCCTGCAGCCCTCTGAACAAACTGTTCTGATGTGCGGGGCTGATTCCTTTCAGTGACTCGAGCGCTCCACACACCAGGGCCCTCCTCCCCGCCTCCTCGCTTTGACCTCTCTGTTGCTCTCTGCATTCCAAGTGACCTGGACTCTTTCCTCAGGTCCGTGAGGGACACCTGCTCTGGCTCATTTGTGGGGCTGACCCCTCCACCTGTAGGCTCTTCCAGCAGATATCATGTGCCTTCCTCAGAAGTCCCCTTTTTGGCCCTCCGACTCACTGGCTAAAGTTGTAGTGCCTGCTGACCCCCTTCCCTCCCGCGTTTGGCACCCTCTTCCCGCCTTGCTCCCTCCTCCATGGTCACTGTTATGTGGCATTGCCGCAGTCTGGCTGGGCACAAATGCCGCAGTCTGGCTGGACACACAATCACGAGCCACCACACAGCTTGTAGATTCAAACAGCAACTCTTTATTCCCGAACTCACACCAGCCGTCTACAATCACGTTCTGGGGAAATCCACGTTCTCTGCCCAAATCCACGTTCTCTGTCCAAATTCACCTCCACTGGGCTTCTATCTCCAAAATATACTGTCTGAATCCCGTGAGAACTCAAGGGGAACTCAGGCAGCAGGATACGCCCTATTCCCAGCAGGAATAATCTTAAACCTTAAACCTGGAACCTAAACTGGGAACGCCCTAAACAAGATTATCTTAAAACCGGGAACACCCTAATCTGCCTTGGTCCTTGAGCAAGGTCACTTACATTCAATGTCACTGCAACATGTCAGCAACATGGGGTACGCTGGCAAGGAAATTGTCATACCTACTTGGCTAATGGCTCCCAGCATCTCCCCCCTTCTGATTAATTAAACAACAAGCAATGTGGCTTAAGGACCGTGCCTGGTAGGTTGTCCAATTCAACATATGGTTCTTACCCGTCATCGGAAAACTGACCTTTAGGCGTCAGCCTCCTGTCTTAGGTTGATACCACTGCAATTGAATCATACCCGTCACTGACTACCGGTCCAGCATACAGCCATACTTGTGGATAGGTCTATGCACCAGTGGGGGGGTGAGGTTCTTTGCCTCACCTCTGTTGGCCCCCAAATTTGGCCTTGGTGCCAGTGGGGGAGTGAGGTTAATGTGGCTTATGGACCGTGCCTGGTAGGTTGTCCAATTCAACATATGGTTCTTACCCGTCATCGGAAAACTGACCTTTAGGCGTCAGCCTCCTGTCTTAGGTTGATACCACTGCAATTGGATCATACCCGTCACTGACTACCGGTCCAGCATAAGCCATTGGCCCCCAAATTTTAGACCATCACTAGCAGAAGGGAGGAGGATACAGAAATGCCACGACACCAAGCCAATTGACGGCTCCTTGGGAAAAATTGCATCACTGGTGACACCATCAGCAAAGATATGTCAGCACTACCACAATTAACATGGGGTGCGCTGGCAAGGAAATAAAAATTGCATCACTAGTGACACCATCAAACGATAGTTACATAGTCCAGGCAAGTTCTGCAAGCAGTTCAAAGCGGAGGAATCTATCAATATGTCCATTTCCTCCCAAAATCTGTCTTCTCCCAAAGTAAGTTGACTCTTTGATTGAGCATTACTTGTTGAGTTCTTCACCGGCACTGGGATGGAGATAGGAATTCTGGCAATGATGCTAAAGAGACATTATCCTGAAAAGAATTATTAAATATAATGAAAAGTAAAGGTGAAAGTAAACAAACAGATCTGTTAACCTACTTTAAAAACAATCCTTAACAGCTTTTTACCTAATTTAAATTAGTAAACAAACAGATCTGTTAACCACCTTTAAAAACAATCCTTAACAGCTGTTTACCTAATTTAAATTAAACCATTTAAATCACGTGAATAAAAAAATAATAATAATTCGGATCCATTTTTTCATGAGCGCTCCTCATATAAGAAATATGGACATACGCACATACAGACATACAACACAAAACACAAGAGTGTACACAAACGTACAACACATAATAGTAAAGGCCTTGTAGCTTTACCTGGGTGAAATCTCCATTGCAATGTTTAAAAACTCCACAGTCAAAAAATAAAACTGATCAGAAAAACATTAACCTAGGTTTGTATGAGCTCAAAAAATAAAAATAGAACCTTATGATGTGGAAAAATGCAATAATAAAATAGCTATTGAAAAAAGCATCCTGGTTAATCACTGTCGCAGATGTAAGAATGGCCAAGCTGGAGCTCTGGATATCAGCTGTTATGGATTTGAGTCAAATCATCTTCTTTTCGATCTGTAGAAACTGTTTTAGTTAATCTCTCTGGAATCCAAATGGGCTGCTGTTCTCCCTGTGGAAAAACACAAACAGACCCCCGACTCCAGACAATCACTGGGTCAGGACCTTTCCATTGTCCTGTTAGAATATCTTTCCAAAGTACTTTAGGCTTATGTACATTTTTTGGATACATATGCCTTTCCGCAGCACTAAGTCCTGATGAATCCAAATTTAAAAAGTTTAGAGTAAAAAGGGTTATTTTAAATTTATCTTTGGGGGATATATACCCCTTTCCAATTCCCTCTTTTTGCTTTAATAAGTATATGTCTGTATCTAATAGTTATCTTAGCTTTTTGCATTTTCTACCTGAAATACCTTACTTGAATCCTATTATCTTCTTATTTTTTTAAGCAATGCCTTTAAGATTAACTAAGCTTCTTTCCTCCATCATGAAGGCATTTTAACCACCTTCAATTTAACCTTTTAAAGCCTTTTAATTATCATCTATACTGTACTTTTAAATGTACTTTTTCAACACCTACAACTTCACTCTTTTAAATGAGGCTTAGATTTTGTTTAAATCGCTTCAATGTTAGTTTACATGGCTGCCCTTCAACCAAAGGCTTTTTTTTTAACCCCATTGAGAAGCTTTGTCTCAATCTGCCATGTACAAATACCTTTTTCTTTTTTCTTCCTTTCTCAAGCTTTTAAAGTAAGTCTAGTTTCCTCAAAATCTTTTTAAATGGCATTTTACAACTTTTTACTTTACCACACAGAGATTATCTCATCTAGAAACATTTCTTTTTCCTTTAACCTTTTATATTAAAATATATTCCCACATCTTGAATCTTTTTATCTTTTTTAACTGTTAACCCTTTTTATAAATTTACATTCTGAAACAACTCTTATAAAAATTCTGATTTAGAAAATTACTCCACTTTAATAAGATGAAAGACTTTCATGTTTTTATGATACTATAATACTATAATTGAAACCCAACTGAAAATTTTTCTACTCTTTGTATATAAATTACACATGATAGAATCTTAACTCTTAGTAACCTTGTTTTAGCAAAGACACAGACACAAAGCAATATTAAACCTTTTTCCATTTACCAATTTATGAAAACACACATAATGTTTAAATATATTACCTTATGGAACTTAATAAGTAAAGAGTACTTGATTTCATATTTAGTGGTTGATATTTTAACACTTTAGCTTTGTAAATTAATCAGATGTCTGTAAAAACCAAGATCTTAGACAAATGTAGTAAACAGAACTAGCCATCTCTTTCTTGTTGAGGAAAAATTCTTCTACAGGATACCATGATGGTCCCATTGATATACTTAATAATTTGTCTTTAAAAAGCCATGGGCTACATTTTTGTATTGTATCAACATATGCCCTAATTGTTCTTGGTCTCACTGGGGTGCCTCCTTCCTCTAACAATTTCTCTTCCTCGGAGGCGAACAACTTCAAACCTTGAGTCAACCATTTTCCCCAGTTTGCCTGAGAAAGTTCTAGGAACAGGCAACTTGAAATAAAAACAAAATAAATCAAAACAATAACACATTGTTTTTTGAAATGTTCACCCATTCTATCTCTCTTCCTCAAGGGTGAGAAATTTCACTTACCTCTAAGCTTCAGAAGTTCCCCGTACGGGCCACCAAATGCCGCAGTCTGGCTGGGCACAAATGCCGCAGTCTGGCTGGACACACAATCACGAGCCACCACACAGCTTGTAGATTCAAACAGCAACTCTTTATTCCCGAACTCACACCAGCCGTCTACAATCACGTTCTGGGGAAATCCACGTTCTCTGCCCAAATCCACGTTCTCTGTCCAAATTCACCTCCACTGGGCTTCTATCTCCAAAATATACTGTCTGAATCCCGTGAGAACTCAAGGGGAACTCAGGCAGCAGGATACGCCCTATTCCCAGCAGGAATAATCTTAAACCTTAAACCTGGAACCTAAACTGGGAACGCCCTAAACAAGATTATCTTAAAACCGGGAACACCCTAATCTGCCTTGGTCCTTGAGCAAGGTCACTTACATTCAATGTCACTGCAACATGTCAGCAACATGGGGTACGCTGGCAAGGAAATTGTCATACCTACTTGGCTAATGGCTCCCAGCATGGCATGTTACGTTTGTCTACTTCTTCTCTTTCCTGTGGACAGGGAAACTCCATGAGGACTTTGGTGTTTTGATCACAGCTCTTTCTGAAACTGTGCCTAGTGTGTGGAGGCCCTCAGTAGACACTAACTGAGGGGCTGTTAGAGCCTGCCAGCTGGCCACCAGGCTGCGTGCTGCACGTGTTGTCAGCATTGGTACCGCGGCCCCGTGTGTAACAGCGCTAGGGTTCTCCATGTGTGAACGCTCTGTGATTTATTCCTTTATTGGAAGGTGTCTTTTTGTTTTTGTTTTGTTTTGTTCTGATTCTGATTTTACTCTTCGGACTTTGGTTTTTCTTTTCTTTTTTATTTCTTCAGAATATGAAACAAGCTTATGGTAGACTTTCAGTTTATAGTAAAAAGAACATTTCTTGAGCACTGACAACCTTCCAGGCACAGTCTCAGCAGTGATGTGTCTTACATCACTGTACCTCCTAAAAACCCCACGCAGGAGATGCCACATTGTTCACATCTATAGACGGGACACTGCGCTGCAAGAGTGAGTGAATTTGCCCCAGTCACACCGGTGGTTTGTGGCAGAGCTCAGAGCCTGGCCTGCTGGCTCCAGAGTCCACGTGTGACCTCCGTGTGTCAACCCCTCCTAGGTGACACTCTTTCACAAAAGTTGTTTTCCATTTTGTTGATTAAAGTAGTGCCAAAGTACCTCCGCATGGTCTCTCTCCATGAGGTTGGGTGTTAGCTTCTCTCAGGTGGGCTGTTCCACCATATGCTCAGGTCTTCACTCCAGGTGAATCTGCTTGGAGCCCCTTCCCCTAACCCTCTCCTGTTTGTATTCCCAGCTCCCTAATTGCTCAGGGAAAACTACAGCCTTTGGGGAGACGACCTCCAGGGCCCACCTGCACCCTTGACCACCTCATGGCCTCCACTTGCCCCTTTGGCCTGGTCTTGGTAGATGCTTGGTGAGGACCTGTTGGGTGGAATTGAATCATTGGTGCCCTTCGGGTTTTCCTCATAGCTGTCAGGTTTTTAAAGATAGTGCTTCTACCTAAGCCTAGCAGTGACTAACAAGAATGACCTTCCGTGTAACAGTGTGCTCAATTTTTTTTTTAACGTAATAAGAATTGAGAATAGTCAGGGATGACAGATTAAATCCTCCCAGTGCTGCAGTCACACAGCAGCTGCAGTGAGTATCTGGCCTGGAGGCAGTGTGTCTCTGGTCAGCAACATGACAGGCCACTTCCCTCTTGCTAAGTGCAGGTGATGCAGGTTTGCCCCGAGGGGCACTAGGGTAGGGCGCGTTGTTGCCATAACCATGCTGGAGCTGCCCTCAGCCCCTGCCGCCTTCCCAGTGTTGGTGGGACCCGGGCTCGCCCCTGCCCTGACAGTACAATCGCTCTTCTCTCAGGTGCTTTTTAACCTACCAGTCCTGCCAGAGCTTGATATACAGACGGTGTTTGCTCCATGACAGCATCGCTCGGCACCCAGCCCCAGAAGGTGAGTGCTTTCCCATCCAGGGGGCAAGGAAGTGTGGGTGGGCAGTGTGCTAGTGCTAGCACCCCACGTCATGGCTGGGTTGGGCTCCACACTGCTGTGTCCGTTGTCAGGGACAGAGCAGGATCCAGCCTCTTCACAGTGTTGCTGTGAAGCCAGAACTGATTAGGAAATGGTCCCTGGAGTGTGTGGTGTTAAGTGCACACTGCCTTTACTTTGAGCAAAGTGGATCTTGGCTGCTGCTCTGTCACTGTGGACTGACCAGGGCTTGTAGAATGTTGGAAACTTAAGCCCAAAGAGTAGGGTGCTTTGTCTAGGGACATATGGTCATTGCAGAACTGGGGCCAGAATGTGGTCTTGATGCTGCCGTGTAGCACGCATCCTGTTTGGGCCTGCTCTAGGCCTGTGCTTGACGCTTCTCATCTTCCTTCTGCAGATCCTGACTGGATTAAGAGGTTGCTGCAGAGCCCCTGTCCTTTCTGTGATTCTCCTGTCTTCTGAATGCAGTAGTGGAGGGCAGAAGGGCGTGAGCTGTGGAGCATTCCAGAGCATGGGAAGCCGTGCGCTGGAGGAAGCCGACTGCGTGGAGAGGTGCTCTTCCTAACCATCACCAGGGCCTCTCTGGGAGGGCAGCGCACACCATCTCCAGGACTAAAAGATATCTTTCAAGTGATTGAAGGCTTGGTGTCATTTTGAGATGGACGTGGTCCCCTAGCTTCTTACCCAATGAGGAACGTTTACTTTCAAGTGTCTTGATGAAAACAGTTTGAACAAAAAATTGTCCTATGGAATCTAGGAACCTGGTGGTCTCTGGTAGAGAATTGTGTGAGGGCCTTCTGGGCTGAGTTAGGTCTTATCCTTTTTTGGTTTGAGGCAGCCCATGGCTCTAGAGGGCTTGAATAGCCTGGTCCGTGCATTCCACGCACCAACAGATATTAAAAGTATTAAAACAATGTGTGGGCTGATGTTTTGCTCCCAGTGCATAGCTGCAGATCTGTGTCCAGTTGACTCTTGTTTCTCATGCATATGGATAACATTTTCCTTTAAAATTCTATATTTTTTAAGAAGTTGAAGCCAAGACTGAATCAGTTTTAATGTATCACACAATCAAGTGACTGTTCGAAGCCAACAGTTGTGATGTGTTTCTGATCGTCTCCGTATCATCAGATTTGCTGATCCTGCTCCTTAACGTATGTGAGGGTGACAGTGCCCGCTTCACCCATCTGTGCAACCCAGATGAGATGCTGTGCAAAGAGGAAAAATGCTTTCTTTGGAAAATTAGAATTTAAGTATTTTTAATGTCAACATTGCTGGATGGTGACTTGAGTATCCAGTGGAGGAGTCTGTTCAGGGAGTTCTGGAGAGAGAGCAGTGAGAGTTCTAGTGCCATAGATGTGGGCGGCTGAGTTGAGCAGAGCCTGGGATTCCTGCTCTGCAGAGCTCCTTGGAGTTTGGAATATCGGTATTTGTAGACTGTGAAGAGATGTCACGTTTCATGTCTCTATTAATTGCGCTTAATAGACATTCTGGAATCACAGTGTTCCTGGGTTTTTAGAGTAAGTGCCCTAGGGATCGGTGCTGATTAACTGGACTGCACTTTGAAGTGGTGCATAGCTCTGGAAGGTCGGATGGGAACTCAAAATACGAACTCTTCACTCTTATTTTGTGAGGTTTTTTTGTTTTGATTTGTGTTTTGTTGTTGTTGTTGTTTTTGTTTTTTGCCTTTATTTTGACATGGTCTCCTGCTTGTATTTTGTATCCTCAGTGAAAGACATTTTGCCTCACTCAGAAATTGTGTCTGCCGTTGGCTGCTGTGGACGAGACAGCCACACCTGTGCTGATCTCTTCCCGCAGGCCCCTCCAGCACTGCCCCAGAGTGTCTTGTTCTGTTCAAGGGCTTGCTTTGTCTCTTAGGCTTAATCATATATTTGCTGGACTCTTTTTTTTTTTTTTTCTTTAAATATGTTTTTTAGGTGGACATAGTTCCTTTATTTTATTTTTATGTGGTGCTGAGGATCGAACCCAGGGCCTCACATGTGCTAGGCGAGTGCTCTGCCACTGAGCCCCAGCCCCAGCCCCTGCCCCTATTTGCTGGACTCTTCTGCTTTTTTTTTTTTTCATTTTGGTGGTGATTTTAAGCATCATGTTTGTCCAGACTTGAGGGACCAGCTTGTTAAATCGGTGTTCATGGTGGGGAACCCAGCAGCATGGTGGCATGCATGGCACAGGTCAGACTGGTAGAGAAGCACTGGTGCCTGCAGCTGTCCAGTTCACAGGGCATGTGACGTAAGCGTGGTGAGCATGGGAGGACAGTGCAGCTATGGTCATCAGGCATCCTAGGTTTCACCTGGTTCTTTGCTCCAGACTAGAGTCATAGGAATTTGTGTTGTTTTTGTTTTTGTTTCTTGGTACTAGGGATTGAACCCAGGGGCACTTAACCACTGAGCCACATCCCCAGCCCTTTTTTATATTTTAGAAACAGGGCCTCACTAAGTTGCTAAAGCTGGCTTTGAACTCACGATCCTCCCGCCTTAGCCTCCTAAGCTGCAGGGATAATGTGTGTGCCACTGTGCCCGACTCTAGGAATTTGTTTTTTATTGGGGAATTTTATGCTGCTGCCACTAAAAACTTACTTTAAGTTTTTATTTAAAGCAGTTGTGCATTTTCGAGAAAATTTAACTACTGCGATAACTAAAAAGGATCTTGGAATTTAGTATGTGTCTGTAAAAATAAATGTGGCAACTGATTTCCTAGACATGGTTCTCTCTGCAGGGTCATGGCCCAGGTCCAGGCTCTGCCTGGTGTCCACATGCCCAGTAGGAAGGTCCTCTCCCACCCTTTCCCCCAGCCCCAGGGCTGAGCAGACAAGAGACTTTGGGTTAATGGCAGCCTCACAAACAGTTGGAGTTTCGGCATTGGAGTGGTGATCCGTGCAGCCTTGGAAAGTGGGAGTGGCAAGGGGCTGCTGCTGGCCCCTTCCACTTAAACTTAGCTCCCTCTTTGGATCTTCCTAAAATTTGCCGGGGCTGTTCTGGTGGCTTTCAAGTTGGTTTTTGCTGTACCTGTAATAACCGTGTCAGGAATGGGAGGGAGACCAGCTGCCCTGCAGTTGAAGTGCAGGAGGCAGGTGCTGTGGTGAGACCTTTGAAGCCACGGCACGTTTCTGGAGTCTGACTTCCATGTGTGTGTCACCTGTGCCTGGGTTAATTTGTTCCTGTTACTCTACATAAGAAATGTTTAGCTTGTTACGCTGGAAATTCATGCTGAAGTCCTCTTGTGTTCATACCCAGACCTCAGGCTTTTCTACTGCTGTTAAATCTGTCAAAACTACCAATTATTTCTCGGTGTCGGGAGTTATTGGAACCCTGGCCAAGCTCATGGTTGAGTGTCACCTTCTGCTTCGGCCTCCGGGAAGTTTTGAGGATATTGATGTTGAAGCATGCATTTGGACTTATTAGCAGGTTTAAGAGGTTAATCAGGTTGAAAGAATGTTGGAGGTTGACAGTTAAATATTGGAACATGGTTTTGATTACGAGGTATCATCAGGTAAAGAAGTGCTGGAGGGCAGGAGGGCGGCCCTGGTTAGGCTGGCGTTGGCCACAAGGCCTGGAGCAGACGCAGGAGTCAGTGTCGTCAGTCAGTCCCCCTCTCTGCCCCCTCTCTTGCTTTCCATTCCTTTAGTTCCCTCAGCTGTAGGATATGTTCAAAGGTAAAATTTCTTTTTTGAAAGAAGAATGGATGAGGGAAAAAGTTTTCTAACTGCTCAGCCACGGGGTGGGGCTCCCTTCCTGAAAGAAACTGTCATTCTGCTTTCTGAAGGTGACAGTGTTAGTTGTTAACAACAGGGTGAGTTGTGTCTGGTTTTCCTCAACGGATACTTCCTGGTCAGAGAGTCCAGAGGCTGGGCTGGGCTGTGGGACGCAGGATCGGGCCTCTACCACCACCCGTTCCCCTGCCTCCCAACCCATAGTTTTCTTCCCCAGCAGAAATTCTGGCTCTGCTGACCGAGCAGGTCGTGCTCCGTCACACCCTGCAGCCAGCCAGGTGGACAGCAGCTCTGCCGTCAGCGGCCTGTGCTCTCCGAGCCTGCAGGACTCCCGTGGCTCCTGACCCCCGCGTCCTCGCCCGGCCTTCCCCCTTGGCTGTCGGGTTGAAGGGTGCAGCTGAGGCAGACGGCTCTGGTCTTCAGTGAAGGCAGCAGTGGCCGCTCAGAGCTCAGGCCGTCTCAGGGCTCTCACAGCTCCTGGACGCGGAGCTGCTCTTTCTGGAGGCTAAGAGAGTGTTGGCAGTGACCTCTGCTGCGGGCCAGGTGATGTGTCTGCTGCTCAGCCTGAATCCAGAGCACGTGGAACTGTCCTTAAAGGGACGCAGCGTTGCGTCCATAGGAAGCACTGGAGCCCTGTCCTGGCGCCCAGCAGGGTTATCCTGAGCTTGAGGGCTGTCCCACAGCGCCCACCCGCCCAGCAACAGGCAGTATCAGGAGGCGCTGGCCAGGTTGTCTTGGGGGTTGGCGCAGCTTCACGTCTGCTGCTGTGCTGTGTTCCATGGTATGGTGGCCACGGGCCAGTCTAGCAGAGGAATGGGGTTTCCATGGCGTCTGCCCCTCTGGTGTGGAGGCATCTGTCCCTGCTGCTCCCTGTCCCTCCTTCCTGACTGTGGGTGAGGGGCTTGTCTGTGGCTCCAGGGAGAGGACACCCAGGTCGAGGCCCCCAGCAGCCTCCGAGGACTTGTTCGTTCATCTCAAGAAAGACTTGAGATGGGGAAAAGGTGTCGCTCTCCCATGAAATTGTCACAGTGTGGCAGCCTGGTGGAAGTTCTGTACGTGGGTTGGAGAAAACCCTCAGCGCTCTGAATCTCATCCCGAATCCCTGTTAATCTCACACAGAAACAGGTGCTGGGAGACTGCCAGGACGGCGGTGTGAGAGGCAGCGGCAGATCTGGGTCCTTGCCCTCTCAGCCAGCTGACATGAGGGTCGTAGGTTCAGGGCGAGCGCTCTGCCCCCCCCCCCACCACTCCCTTTCTCTCTCTCTGGGGTACTAATGCAAAATTAAATGCAAAATGTCGATGAATTATGTCTTTTTCAAGGCTTTGACTCAGATTTGTACTTTGATATATGAAAGTGAATATCAAGCTTGTTTGTACGGAAATAAGACTGTATATAAAAATGAGTCTGTGTTGTGTATAGTGACATATATTTTATGTTTACCCAGCGCTATACTAAACTTTGTGCTTGGCTTTGAATTATATGTATATTTACACCTGACTTTTTTTAAATAAAAAGGAAGATTTAAAGGTCATGGAAAGATTTTTTTTTTTTTAATTGTTACCATCTAGTCATATGGTATGTCTTAGACTGTTAGTGTTTAAATAAAAAACTTTTTTAAGAGTAATGACACATTTTGCTTGGAATAACTCCAGATCCAGAGAACCCACTGCCTTCTCCTTGCGTTTCCGCAGCTGGCCTCACTTTAGGCCACGGGCTCCTGGGCAGGTGCTCTGATGGCGCTCGTCCTGCGTGTCCAGCACCTTGTGGCCGTGTGGGAGGCGGGCAGAGCTTCCCCGGGGCTCACTGGCTCTGCCCAGGGGAAGCAGGCTGTGCCACCTCCTTCACTTTCCTCAGCTTGCTTTTCCTGCAGGTAATGTAACCAGCCCTGAGCTCTTATCTAAGATTAGAGCTGAGGCTTCTGGGAAAATTTGAAATGGGGAAAATTATAGAGAAAAAGAAATGGAGATTTGGAGAGACTCGCCATCAGCATCCAACCCTGTGGAGCGATCTTATTTTCGCTATTATTAAAAGTAAGGGGAAGGGATCCTCAGCTTCTATACCTATTAGCTGGTTGGCCATTGATACAGTTAATGAAAGACAATTGAATTTTAGCTCTTACTCAGTTTGGACCCCCTCGTTTGTTTGTGTGATTTAGTACTTAAAGTCCAATGAAGTTTCTGTGAATATGTGGTGCTGTACATAATGGCAGCTTCATAAATGTGAAATAACCTCAAATATGTGGTATTTGTATGCATAGCCACTAGTGTTGTTATTTTGGCCACTTTTTTATTCAAAATAAATAACAAATATTTGTATATATGTGTCTCTTTGATGGGGTTCATGGGGTCTGTAGCAAGCTGAGCCACCTCTTTAGGCCTAATCACCTCCAGCCAGGCTAAGCACAGGCAAAGGCAGAGGAGAGGGAAAGAACAGCTGGGGAGATGTTGGGGACACCACTAGCAAGAGCCTCAGTGTCAATTTGATGTGTCTTTAAGTTTTATTCCAGAAAAAGTCTGAGGAATGTAAGGGGAAAGGACAGATTCAGGGCTGGACGCTTGCGTAGCATTATGTGCTATTTGCAAGCCTGGAGGGTGTGCCAGCATCTGAGCTGCTCCTTGTCTGTACTGGGGGTGGGGGCAGTGTCCCCTCCTGGTTCATCTGTGCCCCTCAGACCAGAAGGACCTGTTAAAACACAGACAGTGGGCCCGGCATGGTGGCACACACCTGTGATCTCAGTGACTTGGGAGGCTGAGGCAGAAGGATTGCAAATTCCAGGCCAGCCTCAGCAATTTGGCAATATCCTAAGCAACTTGTGAGATCCTGTCACAAAATAAAAAATCCAAAGGGCTGGGGATGTAGCTCAGTGGTCATGCACCCTGAGTTCAGTCCCCAGAACCCAAAATATTAAAAATACCACCCTAGAATTCCTGATTCTGTGGGTCCTCGGAGCCTGGGATCTGGCACTCCACGCTTTCCTGCTGAGCACCCGCTGTGCCTGTCGCGGTCATGTGGGGAGTGTTGGTCCGTACCAGTGCGGTCTCTGTGTCGTTGCCCTCTCACTGTGTCAGGAGCACAGCAAGGTGGACCACGGCCCTGGACCCTTCCTCACTGAATCTTGCTCATCTCCCTCTTCCCCAGATTCACCTTCAGATGGCACGCTCATCCCCCATCATGGGTAGCCTTTCCCCTGCCCTGTCCCACTCCCCTCACTTCTTTGGGTCACCTCCCAAATAAACCATCTGCATCCAAGTCCCCATTTCATGATGTGGAGAGGGAGTGTTAGACCACTGGTCCCACAGGCAGCCCGGGGAGCTGTCAGGTCTGGATTCTGGACCCTGTTTCCTGGCTAGTCAGTGGCAGCTGGTCCCACAGAGCTGCTGTGCAGTCCCGGGAATGCAGGCTGAGCGCCTGGCACGACCTCATAGACCCAGGTGGGTTCTTGATGAGACACTGAGATCCAGAGTAGGGATCTTTGGGTGGGTGCTCTTGAAAACTGAATCCAAATTCCTTTCAATCCCACTGGCCAGCAGATGAGGTTCCCTCCCCTGCAGGAAGGAGAGGACCTCCCCTCACCTGGAGACCTCTACAAAGTCCATCCTGACCCTCCCCTCTTTCCTCGAGGTCAATTACTCAGCTCACTGGGAGTTGAAGTCCCAGTAGCTCTGGGAGTTGGGGCTAAGTGCTGAGAACGCAGGGCTGGGTGAGGTGGCCATCTGTCCACACCAAGGTGCTTGCTGTGATGGCTTCACACAGGCAAGGACCCCTATGGCTCGCCCTGGATAACAGTGGCCTGCTCACAGAAGCTCGGCCTCTGTGTCCCTTGCTTCAGTGGTTAGGATGCCCCTCTGCATCCACAGCATTGAGGGAGGGATAGGGGCACTGATTAGAATGAAGGAGGCACACGTTAGAACTGCCACAGGAGGCCCAGGGCTGGCTGCTGTTTCCCTGGAGAGATGGGAGTGTGCCACTGGCTAAGGCCCAGGTGAGCACTGGAGGCAATGAGAAGCCATTGGTGTCGGGATAGACAGCAGGTTAGTCCTGGTGAGCCAAGGGTGGGACTTCCTCATGTCCGTGACAACAGGACTACAGGATGACAAAAGCCAGTGGCGGGCCTTCAATCACTGCTAAAGAAAGGCGGCTGTGGCTGCTGCCCCAGCAGAACAACTGCAGCAGGCTCTGACCTGGCCAAAAGGCTGCAATGTTCCTAGGGGCAAGGAACATGGGTGGACAGTGAGACCAATGTCCTACTTTTTTAGCCAAAAAGGACCTGTTTCTGCTTATCTTGGCAGGTTTTTAATTCTTCAGTTTTGGAGGGTAGCTTTTCTGGATATAGCCATCTTGGTTGACAGTTATTTTCTTTTAGAACTTGGAACACATTGTTCCAGCCCTCCTGGCTTTTAGAGTTTGTGCTGAGAAATTGGAGTTCTGATTGGCTTACCACGGAATGTGACATGACATTTTTCCATTAAGGCTTTTAAAATTCTATCCTTGTTCTGTATGTTAGACGTTTTAATTATAATGTGTCATTAGTGGGTTCTTTTTGGATCTTGTCTATTTGGAGTTCTGAGTGCCTCCTGTACCTGGATGTCCATCTCATTCTCAAAGTTTGGAAATTTTTCCATTTTTATTTCCCTAAAAAGGTTAGTCATTCCGTTAGCCTGCGTCTCACAACCCTCTTCAGTTCCAGTGATTCTTGAGTTTGGTCTCTTAATGTCGTGCCAGAGTTCTTGTATCTCTGATCATGGTTACTTATTTTCTTTTCTTTAATGCTGTCTGAATGTTTAAGGCTGGCCACTCTGTCTTCCAGCTCTGAGATTCTGTCTTCAGCATGAGCTACTCTATTAGACTTCCAGCTGAACATTTTCTTTTATTTATTGTGTCTTTCATTTCCAAGATTTCTATTTGGTTCTTTTTTAATATCCTGTCTCCTTATTGAATTTCTGATTCATATCCTATACTGACTTCCTTAATTCATTTAGTTGCTTTTCTGTGTTCTCTTGGAATTCATTGATCATTTTTATACTCCTTCTTTTGAATTCTTTATCTGATATTTCATCCACTTCAATATCTTTGGAGTAGGCTGCTGGTGAATTATGAGCTTTAGGAGGCGTCGTGCTACCTTGTCTGTTTGCATTTCTTGTGCTCCTGTATTGGGCTGGTGCATCTATTGGGATGAGTTTATCTTCCACTGTTAGTGTGGGCCTTTTCAGGACTCAGTCTTCTCTTGCCTGAATGTCCTAGAATGATCTGTGCTAAGACACCCTAATAGGTGTGATAGCCACAGCCTTGTGTGTGTTCTGTTTTTGCTCCAGGAGTGGATATCCATGGTGAGGCTCCAGGGCCCACTCTGGCTGTCCCTACTTGGACCTGGTCATTAGTCAGTTTTCCTCTTCTGTATTTTTTTTTGTCTCTGTCTTTGACTGAGTTTAGTTCCACAGCACAATCTCCGTCTTGTGAACCTGTAGTGTCCCTGTGGATTTGCAGGCAGCTGGGCTTCTCAGCTCCACTTGACCCAGGGGTCTAGGAGGCTGAAGCTGCCCTTGCCTGTGTTTGCCTTCTCCCCAGCAACCTCCCAATGTCTCCCTGGATTTTTCTCATAAAGCACTCTCCTATTCGCTAATCCTCTCCCCAAGAAAACTGGCACACACCAAATGACTTCTCAAACATATCTGTTGAAAGTGGCTAGAACGTTTTCATTCATTCCCCCTCCATTATATAATGGAATTTCTGCCTTCCGGTGTCTTGTGGCTTTGTAGAGAGAGCAAAGTTATTGCTACAAACAAGATGCTGACCCTGGGGTGGGCCCTGGTACAACAACCTCTCCCAGGTGCAGAGTCAGGGAACAGATGGGTACTTCCCACCTGGGCCTTAGGCAGGCCCGCACTTCTGGTTTTTCCTCTCCACCTGGAGATCAGTGGAAGGTCTTGCTGTTTCTAGAATAACAGAGCAGGTGCCTCAGTATTTATTTATATGTAAATCTGGGGTCAGCTCCTCATTCTGGTCTCTTGGCCCAGGGCCAGTGGGAAAAGATTCACAAAGAAAGAATGAGCCTGTTGGGAAGAGCCGGCTGGACACCCAGGCAGCCTGAGGAGCCGTGTAGGCTCAGGACAAGTGGAGGCTGTGAAGCTTGACCTCTGGCCCAGGGAAGGGCCACAGCTAGACTGGTTGTGTAGTGGCCCGAGGCTCCTGGGCAGCTGGTGAAAACCTGAGGAGTGTTTTACTAAAGAAGGAAGAACTTTGTGGTTTACTGCAGGAACCTCAAGCCCAGCTCTTTGGCATGTGCTGGCGTCCAGGCCTGAACCTCTGAGCCTCTGTGCTTGCCAGCAGGTGTGGTAATTGGTCCAGACCCCAGTGAGGGCCTTGTCTCTTGTCACCTGCTATAGCCCCAGAACAACGGGGCTTCAGGCCTAGCAGGAGTTTGGTTAGTATTTGTGGAATGTGTGAACCTGAGAACCCAAAGATTGGTTAACGTGTTTTTCTGCTCTACTTGATGGTGACAGCTTAAATGACGACCTTGAGGTCAGGAGTGGA